ACTTTTTATTTATTACTTCTGAATTAACTGTGTAGGCGCAATTTGGCAACTAACAGAGATCCAGAGGAGAAAGACAGTTTTATAAAACTAGCCTGATCTCTCCAAATGATTGAAAAAGATTGATGGAAATAAAGACTGGCTTTTGCTCATTGATCTTTCCAACAATGCCTTTTTCTGTACCTTGGACGTAATTATTGTTTAGTCTGGGGAAAGACAAATAATCTCATGATGGTAGATGCCATGAGTGACCCCTAGCCTGGCCCAGGTTGATGTCTGCATCTGTTCTGGTCCCCTCTGCACCCGTCTTCTTTTCTGAGCATGTGGGAGACACTTGCTTCCCACCAGGAATTTGAGTTCTAGCTGGGAGGAAAATTAATGGAGATCAAAGTTGTATAATTCATCTGTGTAGTATTCTAAACATTCAGATTGTATGGTCAGGTTTATCAGAAAAGGCTTCTCAAAAAAGGTGGTTACCTGAGTTAGTTTTGATGGCCAGGTTAACCTCACTTGGCTGCTGGAAAAACAGGACCTGCTATGAACACGGGAGAGTGAAAGGCACGCACGGTCCAGTGACCAGGAGAGGCTGCGAGGAAGTCAGCCAGGATGGGCATGTTAGGGTAGGACAGGGTGGCTTAGATTGAATGTGTATGTGCCAGATGGCTTTTATCTACATGCCTTTCCTTAAACACTTTCCCCTGAGGTTTTCAAGAGTCAGTAAAGAGGACTGGAGAAATTTTATCATGAGACTCTACTTTTAGTGATAGCCTCGTTACTTTCTTTCTGTTTTCTACATTTTTTCTCATAGAAAATCTCAAGTCCAATTTATTTCTCTTACCCTCATTTTTTTCTCCTTTAATCAAACTTTTTTTTTTTTTCCTTTTTTTTGTCTCTTTTTTCGTGACCGGCAACAGATTGCAACCCTCAGTGTTGCGCCCGTACCGGACCGGGACTGGCAACGGGATCACAACCCTCAGTGTTGCGCCCGCACCTCGCTCAGCCAGTGAGCGGCCGGTCTGTATGTGGGATCCGAACCCTCGGCGGGAGCGCCGCCGCGATCCCAAGCAGCGCACTATAGCAGTGCGCCACCGGGCCGGCCCTTTAATCAAACTTTTTAAGTTGTTGTTATGTGCTAGGCATTGGGACCACCAGCATAAGCAAGGTGTAGTCCCTCATCAAAATGAGCACAGCTTAGTAGAGACACAGACCCACGTGACCGTGTCTTGACAAGAATGCGTGGGCATCTATGGGCATGGGTGAAGGGTGGCCACACCACACAGACCACATGGGGAGGGCCAGAGCAAGCTTCCTGGAGACGTGAGAGGTAGGCTGAGTCTTGAAGGATGAGGTCTGTTAGCTATGAGAAAACGCCTCCTCCAGAAGACACTCTTCACACTGACCACACACATATATACGTCCCCTACCCAAGAGGATGGTAGCAGTAACTGGAGCAAGACTGCCAAAGTGCTTTGTAGATGCACTCCCCCCATTAAAAAAAAAAAGAAAGGAAGGAAGAAGACAACTGCTTTTTGAATAAAAGCTTTTGCTAGAGATCATAGGTTTTTGCAGGTCATGTTTTATGGGGTACAGTCTTTTAGTATAAAATGAAGAACTTGCCAAGTTCAGTTTTGTTTGTTTAATTGAAACACATTTTCATTTATTTAAGGCTGTAATGGTGGGAAGAGAGCACATGTTTACTTGATGCCTATTATGGGAGAAGTACTGGGGCTGGCTAATTAGCATCCATTTTATCCTTCAGTTTTCACAGTGGCCCCGAGGAGTTATTTTGTGCGTGTTACAGATGAGGAAAGTGAGGCTCAAAGACTGGATTGCTCAGCTTCATGCGTGTAGCAAGTGGGAGAGCTGGGATTTGAGCCCTGGTATGTTCAACACAGAAGCTCAGAAGGTCTCCCATTGTGTTAACACTCCTTCCCTCCAACAAAGACAATATCTTGTCCTCAAATCCAAGAAAAATTTGCCTTGTCACTTGAAGACTTAATAATCACATTGGGGCAGGTGAGGGAATACAGGAAAAACAGTAGTGAAATTAGCATGAAAGTGAGAGAATCAAGGAGAGAAGCCAACATTTTGCCCCTCTTGGTGACTTGGAAGGTGTTGATTGCTGAACTGAGTGTCACCTTTGGTCATGCCTTTGACTTCAAAATTAATACAGAGAACAACATTGCAGCAAGGTCTTTGGATTTCTTCTTTCATTTTCTTTTGTAGTCTCAAATGTGGACATCACTCCATTGTTTTTTTGTAAAACAGTTGAGCAGCACAGTGGCTGGAAGCACGATCCTGGTCTCCGTCAGGTCTTGGATCTAATCCCAATGCCAGGGCAAGCCAAATGAATTTGGACATGTCTGTCGAGATCAAATTGCACAGTTACTACACAGATACCTGGGACTTTGGCAGTTCTTTTTTGCCCAGAAAGAGCTAAGGTTTGACTCAAATTGTAGCTTAGTTCCAAAAAGAGTAGAAGACATTTTGAAAAATTTACCTACTAACTTTTCAGTGACGGGAACGTAGGTTCCAGAAGTGCTGGAACTGTGTCTCTCTTATTTACTGCCACTCGCAGTGACCGGAACCACACCTGTCCATCGTGTGAGCTCAGTCATGGTTGGAGAAACAAGTGGTGACTGTGCAGGGCTGGTGGGGGGCCACGTGTGCACAGTCATGACTTACAAGCCAGTGGTGCCCACATCTGCGAGTCCAGCCCTGGGTCATTTTCTGAGCTATTTGCATGAATCACAGGGACACTGATGGTAATGGTGTTGGTAATGAGGGCAGCTACGGTATTTTGAATTTATGTATGCCAGACTCTGGCCCAGGCATCTTGCATCTAGGACCTCACTTTCTTTTAATTTATCCATAGTTCTGCAAGACAGGTAGTTTTTTTAAAAATTTTATTTTTATTGGTTATGAATATTCATAAGATACAAAGCTGATTGTTACCCCTCGTGCCCAAGATGTGAAGGCCAGATTCAAACTGAAAGCATACCCATTACCAGAAATTATGTTTGTACCCTGTGTCCCCCACCCAATTATCCCCACCCTCCCTCCCCTTCTCCCTTTTCCCCCACTCCACTTTGTAGCCCAAGGTATGTTCTCTTCTTTTGCAAGTCCAACATACCACTGTGGTCTTTCCTTCCTTTTTTCTCCCTTAGCTCCTACATATGAGTGATACATGTGGTATTTATCCCTTAAGACAGGTAATCTTGACACTCCTTCCTTTGCTGGTGAGGAAACTAAGGCTGAGAGAGGTTAAATCCTTTCCCCGAAGGCCACACAGCTCATAACTGATGTTTTTTACTCATGATTCACTGAGAAGGTAGAATCATTCAGACAGGAGTGTTCTCAATTCCCACCACGAATGCACTAGCTTTACAGTGTGTACACTCTGCCTTCTGGTCAAGTGGCAGAAGGAACACTTGGCAAAGCGCTTCATCTGCCTTTTTCCTCCTTCCAGGCATGCCCCAGCCCCAGCCCCGAGCCCTGCTTCCCTCCCTTGGCTGGTTCCCTTCCTCTTCTCCCTGCTCTGTGGAGGCCACACACTCTGCTTTTCTTCCTGCTTCCCTGTCCATCCCAGCTCAGTTTTTTTTACCGCTTCTCTCCTCTGCCTCAGTCCTTAAATGCTGACAGGCTCCTGGTCTTTCTTCTTGATATCTGCTCTTTTCCATCTTACCTTCTCCCCTGGTAGACTCACCTAATCCAAGGCTATAAGCACCATCTTTTTGCCAGTGACTCCCTCGTTTATTTCTAGCTCTGACTGGAAATTTGCCTTTGGCTCCAAACTTATCCACCTGGTTTCTCATCCACCCAGCCTGTTTCTCTCATCTTCTCTATTTGGGTAAACAGAATCACCCATTTGCTAAGAACAGAAATCCAGGAGTCATGCTGGAGTCGGCTCTTCCCCTCCTGCCCTGAGTCTGATCCATCAGCAAGGCCCATCAGGTCTTCCTCCAGGCACCTCCTGCGTGTATCCTGCCATTCCATCTTTGCTGCATCCCCTCCCATCCGTGCTGCGTTGTCCGTCCTCTCGGCCACTGCAGCAGTGGCCTCTCACTGATGGCCTGCACTTTTCTTTTGCTCCTGTGTAATTCTTTCTTCCTACAACAACTACAGTACCATCTGCAATCTTATGATAATTGAATGCTTGTTATGTTTTAGACATTGTCTTATGGCACTGAGTCTTAAGAAGGCAGTACTGTTGCATCTGTGCTTTTCACATGGGGAACCAAGGTACGGGGCAATAAATTTGCCCAAGGTTGAAGCCAGGATTCGAGCCCATGCCCTCGCAGCCCATCACTCCTCTCCTCAAAACGCTCCCAGGGTCCCTCACGATGCTTCTGTAAAATTCGGTCTCCTCACTGGGCCTGAAGGTGCTTCAGGGCCTGGCCTCTTCTCCTCTCCTACCTCATCTCCTTCCTCTTTCTCCCCTTTCCTCTCCTTCACAGGGCATTCTCCAGACACTTCGCATCCACTGTGGGGCCTTTGCACCAGCTGTTCCCTCTGCCTCGAACCCTTCTCTCCCAGTGCTGCATGCACAGATCCTCCTGGCCCTTTAGCTCACAGCTTAAACATCATCCCAGTGATGGCTCCCCAGATCTCTTGATCTGAAGTAGCCACCCACCTTTTCGTTAAAGTACTGTCTTTTATTCTTTGTGGCACTGAATGCTATCTTATGTTACTTCCTTTTTTGGGTGACACTATTTATAGCAATATTTAAATGATATGGAACTGAACTCCCTGAGAGCAGAAACCTCAAATGCATCATTCTGCTCTGTGTCCCCAGTACCTGCGCTAATGTCAGGACTTGGTAGACATTTGTTGAATGAGTGAGTGAGTGAACAAGTGAGCATGTGGCATCTTGGAATGCAAAGCCTCTGATCCCACGTATCCCACACATATGCCTCTGTCTGCCTCAGGCTTCGGCCCCTTATTTAAGTACAACTGCCTCTGGGCATACTCAAGAGATCAAGAGATGTCTGCACTTGTTACAGGTGATCAAGGAAGCCTACAGTGGCTGCAGTGGACCCGCAGATTCAGAGTGTCCTCCTCCGTCAAGCTCCCCAGTGCACAAGGCAGAACTAGAGAAGGTAAGGATGGAGCATCTCTCTAGGAATGCTGAGTGCCCTCACAGTTGATTTGGGTCTACCTCAAAGTTTTAATAGCATTCTCTGAGAATTTCAGGGCTTCCAGTTGAAAAAAGAAAAAAGGCAACAAATGCAGCCCTGCTGTCCATCTGTCTTAAGTGCCAACATTGAACTATGCTTGAGTTAGTCGTTTTGCAGACTGTATGGCTGGTTTTATTATTTCCAGCTACAGATGAAGAGATGGATTTAAAGGTGTGACGGGCCTTGTTCAAAGTCACGTAGCTATTAAATGGCAGAGCTGAGGTCTGAATGCAGGTCTGTCCGCTTCTGGAATACAGAAGGCACTTCATGCATGTACCTTCCCTAAGGTTTATTCCGACAGACCAGGGTGCATCTCCCTGTCCCTCTGATTTGTGCTCATTTGGTTGTTGGAAGGTGGGGTGGTGGGATAAGAGCACAGCGGTTGGGGGAGGGCAGTCTGTCATCTGTGAACTCATCACTGTCACGCCTCATGCCCAGCTCTGATTATATTTTAGTTGTCTATATGTTAACTGATATTGTTTCCTGGAGACCGCTGGCTTCCTGCCATGAAATCTGTGGGTAGCTTATGTCCTAGGAGCTTTCTGAGCCCTCCGCATTCAGTCGCCTGCCAGTGAACAAACAAATCTTTTTTATCCTTGTATTAATCAGGGTTCTCCAGACAAATAGAACCACTGGGACGTGTGCATATGTAAAAGAGATTTATTGTAAGGAACTGGTTCACGCAGTTAGGGATGGTGCAAGTGCAATCCTGCAGTGTGGCCGTCAGGCAGAGACCGGAAGGGCCCACGGTGCAGGGGGAGTTTCAGGCGGCTGGTGGAGGCTCCCTCGTGCTCAGGGGACCAGTCTTTTTGTTCCGTTTGGCCTTCAGCTGATTGGATGAGGCCCCCCTATTATGGGGGTAGCCTGATTGCTCAGAGTTTACTGATGTAAATGTAATCTCATCTGGAACATCCTCCAGCTGACACACAAAATCAACCATCACAGTCCTTATCCTGATAACGTGCAGAACAGCCCTATTTTTTTTTTTTTTCCATGATTATAAAACTGTGCTGCTTTTTTACCTATTACCTGAGAATAGATTCCTGGAAGCTGAATTACTAGACCAAAAGAGAACTTTTTTTTTTTTCTGTAAGATTTTGATCCATGTTGCTAATCAAATTGCTTTCCCAAAAAGTTGGTCTGATCTTGCTTCCCATCGCAGTGCATCCAAGTTTCTCTCTCACATACTCTTCAGAATTCGGGATTCTCCTTTACTTATCTTTGGTTTCTAAAGCTGTACCATTAGTGCCTGGCCAGACCTGTTGCTCTGGGTTCCACGGATGCTTCCTGGCTTCTGGTGTGAGAGCTGGGCAGTGCCAGCTCTTGGGGCTCTTGGTCTGTCACATTATAGGTTCCCACTAAATGCAAATTCTTTCACTGCAGCTCTTGCAGGATTGCAAACACCTGTCCGCCATCCTTGGCCAACATTGCCTGGTCCTCGCATTCTGAGGTGAACCTGTGTGTTCCTTTGTGCGTGGGAGTCATCCACATGATTCATCTGTGTCCGGCTGGCCAGTCTCTGAGGCACTGGGTGCAATGCCGAGGATCTGAGGAGGGGCATTTTGGAGGCCAGTCCCTCCACTGTGACTCCACAGGTTCTTGGTAGGAGTGGAAGAGGTCTCTATAAATGCTATATCCCATTCACATGCTAATGTGAAGTCCAGTTTATGCTCATTAAATCCAGATATTAGGACCGAAATAATGACAAGTATCCCAGCCCCTTTGAAGGTTTTGATAGTAACTTGTTTCTCTCTGTGGACATTCTGAGTGTATTTGTTATAAGCAGACACTTGACACCTGCCCAGTTATTGGTGAATGACAGGAGGGAATTTAAATAGACAATGAAACATTTATCTCTACAAGGATAATATGGCTTGGTGAGGAGAATATTTTCTGTAATCCTAATATTTTTCCAAATTGTTTGCAAGTAAAAGTGATTTGAATGAAATAGGCATGGTACTTATAGGTGTGTTGGTACAATACATGTGTAACCTCAGTGAGTCTTTTCTTTTCTTTGTTTTGATATTTTCAAAGCTTTTGTAGAAACCTAACCAGCCAGTCTGTGTTATAGTTAAACCCTAATTATCTCTGTATTGTTGTGAATTTGGCCTAGATTTTCTTTCTCTTTTGAGATAACTTCTGATTGATCCATTGTACATCGCTTGGCCTGTGTGACCATCGTATGAATAACTGAATCCTTTGTACCCTCCCAGAAGCTGTCCTCAGAGAGACCCAGCTCGGATGGAGAGGGTGTTGTAGAAAATGGAATTACCATGTGTAATGGAAAAGAGCAAGGTGAGTTCTGCTTATGCCAAAAATGTATCAACTAGGAAAAAAAATTTTTTTAATTTCAGCCAAGTCTGATTATGAAAAATGTCATGGGTGATTTCACTGTTCAGACATCATCATCACATATTGCGCTGATGGGAATGTGGGGAAAGCACCTTTGGTTACTGTCAGTCCCATGGTCTGCGTTTTTTTATCCTGCCAACCTCGGCCTGGGTTGTTTCCTATTGTTTTTATTTGTGCCCTGAGTAGATTTTGAACTGAAGACTCATAGCAGATGATTTCCTCGCATGACTTATTGAGACAGATTTGCATTGGGGAGCAGTCGGCACGTTGCTTAGACACCTGACTTCCAGTGGATGAGTTGGAAGGATGAGACAGGAAAACCACATCCCCATTCCAACTCTGCCATGCTCAGTCACGTGGTCTTCAGCACCATTCCCTCTTGATGAGCCTCAGTTTCCCGTCTTTAACATGAGGAGGCCAGATGTGCAGATTTCTGAAATCTTTTCTGAAAATGTCTTTATTTCGCCTTTATTGAAAAAAAAATTTTTTTTTTTTTAAAAAGATGACCGGTAAGGGGATCTCAACCCTTGGCTTGGTGTTGTCAGCACCACGCTCAGCCAGTGAGCAAACCGGCCATCCCTATATAGGATCCGAACCCGCGGCCTTGGTGTTATCAGCACCGCACTCTACCGAGTGAGCCACGGGCCGGCCCTGAAAAATTTTTTAATTGTGGTGAAATACACACAGTTTTATACCATCGTGACCATTTTTAAGTGTGCATTGTGGTGAAATTAAGCACATTCACATCGCTGTGCTCTCATCACCATCCTTCATTTACAGAACTCTTTTCATCTTTCATGACTGAAGCTCTGTCCCCATTAAGCATCAACTCCCCACTCCACCTCCCCAGCCCCTGGCAACACCCATTCTCCTTTCAGTCTCTATGAATTTGACGACTCTAGGGTCCTAATGTAAGTGGAATTATACTGTATTTGTCCTTTCGTGTCTGGCTTATTTCACTTAGCATGATGTGAGTTTTGACAAACTCAGGCCGGTGACACTCACCACAGTCCAGATAGAGAACCACTTCTCTCACTCCAGAATATTCCCTTGTGCTCCTTTGTCTCACCTCTGCTCCCAGCCCCTGGCAGCCATGAGGCTATTTTCTGCTCTTTACCAGAACGTCACGTGAGTGGAGTCACATAGGATGTAGACTTTTGGGTCTGGCTTCTTTCCCTTAGCCTGCTGCGCCTGAGACTCCCCCATGCTGTGGCATGCAGTGGAGGTTTGTAGCTTTCCTGTTGCTGAGCAGCGTCCTGGTGTGTGGATGCACCACTGTTCACCGACTGAAGAACGCTGGCATTGTTTCCAGTTTGGGGCAGTTGTCTATAGAGCTGTTCTAGATATCCACAGACGTTTGTAGGTAAACACTTAGGAGTGGGATTGCTCAGTCATATGTGTTCTCACCAGCCTTGGCATTGTTGGTTTTGTTTTGTTCTTTTTTTTTTTTTTTTTAAAGATGACCGGTAAGGGGATCTTAACCCTTGACTTGGTGTTGTCAGCACCACGCTCACCCAGTGAGCTAACCGGCCATCCCTACATGGGTTCCGAACCCGTAGCCTTGGTGATATCAGCACCACACTCTCCCGAGTGAGCCACGGGCTGGCCCCTGTTTTGTTCTTTTTTGTTTTTTTTTTAAAGATGACCGGTAAGGGGATCTTAACCCTTGACTTGGTGTTGTCAGCACCACGCTCACCCAGTGAGCTAACCGGCCATCCCTACATGGGTTCCGAACCCGTAGCCTTGGTGTTATCAGCACCACACTCTCCCGAGTGAGCCACGGGCTGGCCCCTGTTTTGTTCTTTTTATTTTAGCTGTCTTAATAGGTGTGTAGTGGTATGTAATTGTGGTTGTAATTTGCATTTCCCTAATGACTAATGATGTCGAACATTTTTTAATGTGTTAATTTGCCACTGGTATATCTTCTTCAGTGAAGTGTCTATTCAGATCTTTTGTCCATATTTTTGTTAGTTTGTTCTTGAGTTTTGAGAGTTCTTTATATATTCTGAATATAAGTCCTTTATCAGATGTGTCTTGCTCACATCTTCTCCCAGTCCGTGGCTGGACTTTTAATTTCCTTAGCAGTGTGTGGACTGAGGCAAGGGGTGTGATTTGTGGGTAGTGGTGGATGTTTTCCTTATGCAAAGCCAAACTGCCTATGTGCTCATTGAACCTGTGAGTTCAGCTGCTCAGGTGAATACTCTGACCACCGAGCCCACCTGCCCTGTATTGCTAGAGTGAAACAGCATTTCCTGTTTGTAATGAAGTCACCTTAAATGAGATGGCAGTCTAGGCCATTAAGAGTCTTGGAGCCCAAATAATCTGGACTGTTACGACATTACAAGTTTCATTCTAAAAGGTCACAATCTCTGCTTTTTTCATATGTGATTTTTCTAACCCAGTCATATCTGAGTGTAATTGTAGTTCTGTCTATGGAAGTTATTCCATGGAAAGTATTATCTGTGTCTTCCACAGGGCACATTATGTGTAATCAAAACCAGGAAAGCTATCTTTAAGTTTTTCCCTGAAATAAAATAACATATAATCTCAATGTTCCTGCTTAGCTGTTGAGGCGCAGGAGACCTTAGTTTGGTTGGTTGGTTTTCTTGTTTACTATTTCATCTCCCAATGTACCATAAAATTAGGTTCTTCAGAAAAATATATATGTCTGAATGTACATGTAAGTGAATATATCTAGATTTAAAATTGTCCTGTTTTCTTTTGACAAGAAGAACCTTCTATAATTTGGAATTAAAAGATGCCCTTGGTTTTCAATGTGTTCTTTTTGTCTGGCATGGTGCTTTGCATACAGTAGACACTCAATAAATAGTTTCTGAAGGAAGTTAATATAGTTCAAATACATTCTAACCTTCTATCTTAGCTTTTATTCTTGCTGCTCACTCTTGGCCAGTTTGCAATTGAGAGATTTCAGTTAAGTTGTCTTTACACCAGCCATGTCGTGACTCACATAAGCTTCTCTGCTGGCTGTCTAGAAGAGATCACAGCTTTTCCTAGATGTCAGAATCTCAGGTGAAGATAGAAACCATCCAGACTCCATGTGGTCAAAGCCACAGGAAACGACTCTAAAACTCCTTTTTCTTGGTTCAAGGTAGAATCCCTAGTATTTAACAAATGAATGCATATGATTTTTGGTGAATTAGTAAACATCATGTTGATATGGCAGCTGATGTGAGGAAAGAGAATTGAGGTCCTGGAACCTATATGGAGGCTGTGGTTGTCTCCACCTAGCACTCTATACATTTAAGATTTAATTATTTGTCAGTGGATCTGCTGGTAGAATTATCATGTGAATAGTCTGATAGTGCTAATCCCTATGCCTGCATTCCTCCCACCAGCCTAAATAAAAAAAAACCTAGATTCCTGTTTCTGTAGGATAATGGGGAACTGTCTGGGATTACAATGTTTGTGGCCTTATAAAATGCTAAGATTAGCTTTGCTTCAGCTGTCTGTCACTGACCCACCACCTCACATTGACGGTACTTGCCATGTGGACTCTCCAGCTTTTATCTTCTCTAACTTCCATGAGTTGAGAGTTCTGAGTCTGTAATTCTTTTACATGTGCTGAATTCTGCCTTTTGTTTGATAACTAGTATCAGACATTCTTGATGTTTCTTTCTCATGTTCCTATATACTTTGACTTTTTCTTCAAAGGATTACCTGATTTCTGGTTTTGCAAAAAGTTAATCAGTGGCTATTGAAGGAATTAAAAGTATTCATTATTATCTCATTTCTTTGCGGTCAGAGTCCAGCAAGCACTTTCCCAGCAGGAGTAAATCTAGAACCCCAGCTTGAAGAGGTGAACGGTGTCATCTGCGAGGGAGGACCACCTTGTGCCCCCTGAGCCTGTCACACGGCAGCTTCTGGGCACTCTTGCTGTCCGCAGGTCACAGCAGCTTCTCTGTGAAGCTCAGTGTGATTGGGACTGTGCTGAAAGAGCCTCTTTGGGGTCTTCAGAAACAGTTAAGGGGGCATATACTGTTGATTTCCCTCTTGATTTGGTTGAACTGAAACCAAAATGATTCAGGTGTCCCAACCGCAGACCTTTCTGTGTGATGGTAACCAAGAGGAGCTGTGCCTTCAGACCAAGGGACTGAAATAGACCCTTGGTGCTTTATTTTAAAAGAGAGTGTGTGTATGTTGAGAGAGTGGAAAGAGTTTGCTTCTAATTTCATGTGAGGCCTTAATATGATTTGTTAAAAATAACACAAAAATGCTTGGACTATTTTGTATTAGTCATCTCGGGCTGCCATAAAAAAATACCACAGATTGGGTGGCTTAAACAACAGACATTTATTTCTCATAGTTCTGGAGACCAGAAATCCAAGGTCAAGGTGCTGGCAGGGATGGTCTCTGGTGAGGGCTCTGTTCCCGGCATTTGGAGGGCTGCCTTCTGGCCCTGTCCTTACACGGCCTTCCTTCTGCACATGTGTGGCCTCTTCCCAGGAGGACGCTAATCCTGTCAGGTCAGGGCCCCATCCTTATAACTTCATTTAACCTGAGTTGCTTCCTCAGAGGCCCCGTCTCCAAGTACAGCCATACTAGGGATCAGGGCTTCAAGATACGAATGGGGGGAGGGGGGGACACAAACAATCAGTCCATAACACTGCACTCCGAAAGTTGGTGTGGCTTCTTTTGTATCTATAACCTAGCCCCTGCTGCCTAAGATGCGTTGGGTTGTCATTTCATGCTAGAGAGCAAACGAGGGTTACAATGGAGCGACTGATGTTACATGCTCTTGCCGAGTCTTGCTGAGTTCTGGGGGAGGGTGCTGAGGGGAGGGCAAGGCACAAGAAGGGTGCACTGGCGTTCTCTGGCCTCTGTCCATTTGGACTTGGGGGTGGGCAGCAGAGTGGAGATAGAAAAGAGGATCGCTTCTCCACTCCCCACCAGAGAGAGACAGAAATGGGGAAAGAAGAGGGAAGTATGTGTGTGAGCATGGATGTGTTTAGAGGAAGGGTATAGGAATTAGGCCAATAGCTCACCACCTTGTGTCCCTAGATGCTCTTTCTGTGAAATTCTTCTGTGCGATGTGCTGTGTGTGTGTCCGTGTGTTCACAGGGATGGGGGAGGGGAAGGAACCCTTGATCTGCATGAAGTCTAAAAGGGTTTATGATCCCAGAAGACTGCAGATGGGTTGAGGGAGTCACACTCAAGATGAGGGGACAGGCTTGGGTGGTGGCGTTGGACTGGGTGCTGTGGATCCCTTCACACCCTCTCCCAGCACGTGTTGTAGTGAAGCCGGTTTTGAGCTGCCGCGCTGGCTCAGGCCCCGCAGCTCTAGCGCCAGGCACAGGATGGCCCTCAGGAGATTGAGGTGGGCAAGTGACTCACCTTACCCAGCAGTCACTCTCTGGCCACTCAGGTCTGGGTGCGTTCTTACGAGTGATTTCTCACCTTGTCCCTGTGCCTATAAGTCTGTCGGAGGTCACAGACAAAGCCTGCGGGGGTAGAAAGACAGTGTGATGACTGAGATGGGGCAGGGGTGCAGTACCAGCTGGGGTGGACCCTGGGCCTCTGTAGCTGGAGACGGTGGAGAGTGGCAGGAACTGTTCCACATCGAGGAGTATAGGCCTGTTTGCGTGGACACCACTCCTCTGGTCCTGCCATTGGGACTCACCCAAATGTGCGTCCATAGCTGCCAGATCTTCCAGTTTTTCAAGGGAAGCCAGATATCATTTTTATGCAAAATGTTTATAAATTTTATGTATTGACAATTAATTCCTAATTTAATGCCATCCAGGCTAAACAGAATGTAACGGGCTGGATGCAGGCCACTGTTCTGACGGCTGTAAATGAGGCAGAGTCAAGGGAGTGTCTTCAGATGGTGAGGGGCCTCCTGAGGAAGACCTAAGTCTCCTTCCCACTCCCAGAGGCTGTCTCCTTGCCAGCCTGGCTTAGCCACACCAGCTCCTTCCTGTTCCCCAGACACTTAGGGCTTCTTCCAGCAGGACAGCCTCTGCTCCAGCCAGTTCTCTACTTGCCTGGATGCTTCTTCCCACTGAGATCTGCACACTAGTTCCTTAACGATTTAGCTCTCAGCTTAAAGTCAATCCTTGGACAGGCTTTCTCTGGCCACCCAGACACTCTCCCACATAACCCTGTTGTTGGGAAAGTATATGAAAATGATCAGGGCCCCTCAGATGTTCAGAAACTTGCTGAGCATTTGCTGTGAATAGGTTGTGTGTGGGTGGAGTTAGTGTGCCTCCCCAGTGCTGCCACCTTGGCTGGCGTTTTACTGCCTCGGGCGGCCGCCACCACAAGCAGCCATGCTTTCCAACCTGCGGCTTCCAAGGACCTGTCTGCCGGTTACCTAGCTCGTAGACCTGCATGTAAGAGGCCTGGTGACCCAGCCTGGCGTGTGAAGGGTTTGTGACTAGTCTGTGAATGGGCCTGAGGGGTCTGTGAACTCCAGACCCAGCCCTAGCTCGACAATTGGCCCAGTTGGTGCAGGATTACGGGCAGGTAAAAGAGCCCGACAACTGGCGTGGTCGAGTAGCTTTACAATTGGCATCAGGAACAGGATTAAGAGCGCTACAATTGGCGATATTGGCAGGATGCCGACATTAGCCATAGTGCGACACCTGTCTTAGACCTCCATGTGGTCCTTGACCATTTGGCATCCTTGGCGTGCATGTGTGTGTATGTGTGTGTGTGTGTGTGTGTTTGTGTGTGTGTGTGTGTGTTCATGTTCATGTGCTCTGCTCACTCTACAATATTGGCTTCCTAAGAGCAGCCCCGTCTTCTGCAGTCCCCAGCATCTAGCCCAACAGCTGACACATAGCAGGAGCTCAGGTACTCAGTAAGTCACAATTGGGGAAAAAAGAAATGGATCGTGACATATGCTGTATTTTTATTTTTGTCAGCTAACATCTGCAGTTAAAACATGCTTTGTCGCTGTTTTTATTCTTAACAGTGAAGAGGAAGAAAAGTTCCAAATCAGAGGCCAAAGGAACCGTATCCAAAGTCACCGGGAAAAAAATAACCAAGATCATCGGTCTGGGAAAGAAAAAGCCGTCCACAGACGAGCAGACTTCTTCAGCTGAGGAAGACGTCCCTACTTGTGGTGAGATGAATGCTTGCCAGATATGAGTAGCGCTCACCTATGTGCGTCCGGACCCGCAGAGTTGCCTCGGTGTCAGCTTCATCTCAGGTGCATTGGTCAGAGCGCTTTGGCACTGGACAGGAGATCATCCGAATTGTGAGGAATGTATTAATGTTTTAGTTTTACCCCTTATTAATAAAAGCATCGCAGCGGGTTGAGATGATCTCTAAAGTAAAAAAAAAAAAAATTCTCTCTTCGATCCTATGAAATTCTCCCAAATTCCTTTAAGCATTTTAAAACCAGAACATACATGGATGCCATTGGCAAACAGAGAAGGGGGTGAGCACAAAGTATGGAAAAACATTTTATGGAATTAAAATCAATTCTTTCCTTGGGCTAAAGAAATAAAACTAAACTTCCTTATAATGTTCCATTTCTCAAGCTTAAGTTTCAAAACAAACCTAAATGACTATCTCCCCAGATCAGTCTTTTGTCTCATACGTGTTTGAGCAGCTGCTGTTTTTCAGGGACTTTGTTAAGTTCATGGTACATACAAGAGTGATGAAAACAGTCCTTCCCCGAGGGCTTCCCGCCCGATAGCAGAAGATAGGTGTGGGACAAGTGATCACAGAAATGAGCCTGCAGTAACTAGGTCCTTAGCTGGATTGCGGGTACAGCCCTTGAGCTTTGATAAAGAAGTGGGTAGGTGAGATTCTATATGTAATGTTTTCTAGGCAGCCAAGTTTAGGAGAATCATGTAGCTCTTTTAAGGAGGAAAACTTAATAAGCTGAAAGATGGCTGTTTACCTTTTTAAAAAAATTAAGAATGGGCTGTACTTTCCCTCGTATGCTATTACTGCACAGACAGCTTCCCATTGATGTAAACCCCAAATTCCTTTCCTTTGTATAGTCATTCTGTTTCTACCTCTCTCTGTCTCATTGAGCATCCTTTGTGTTCAAGATATTGGGTTTTATTTGGGGGATACCAAAAGATATGTCATTGAGACCCTGCCCTGTAGTGCCTAAATGGGGCCACACGCACAAAGATAAATTTATTCAACAGATACCACGTCCCAGGGTGTGTGAGCTTATGCTAAAAGGATAACAGAAAGGAAAAGCCCTGGGTGGTTGGAAGAGGGAAAGGTTGCAGAGCACTGGGCAGGCGAGAGGAGCTAGGAGGAGCTAAGACACGTGCTGTATCTTGAAGGGAAGATGAGGTGATTAGCTCCCTTCCAGCTTTAACAGTTGTGGTTCTAGGAAGTTGAGTAATAGGTTTTCAGTGGACGTGATAAAGTTGTCTGAGCAGACAATGGCCAAGGCCTTGCGTGGTTAAAGGCATCATCTCAGAGAAGTCCCATCGAAGTGGTTGCCTGCGGGGTTGAGTTAGGACAGAAGATTGATGACACCATGAGGAGACCTGTGACCTAGCAGCCAGGTGCATTACAAGGTCCCTGAACTTGTCCTTGGTCAAATGGCAGTTGGGTTGCAGAAGTAGGCCAATTGATACTGACATTCCTGCCACTACCCTACATCCTCCTCTACGTACGTACGGAGGGAATTTGAGAGAGCAGCACTTTGCTGACGTTCAGCCAGATGAAACAGCTGCACACGGAGAGGGAAGTGAGTTTGTCCTCGCAGTGCTGTGCCCTGGGGCCTCTGCCTTTGTTAGAGCAGGCTTACCTCCTTCCTATATTAGCCCTTGAGATAAGATAGCAGGTAGGGATTAAAAGTGAAAAGGGGGTTATTCAACAAAAAGTGAACTCCTTTTTTAGTTTAGTTTTTGTTTTTCACACTGCTCTAGGTCAGTGGAAGAAATAGAAATTCTTTCATGAAAAACATTATCGTGAAAGGCAGTTCAGAGATTGTGGTCCCAACCCCTCCTTTCAGAGAGAGAGTGCTGAAGCTAAGAAAACTTCCTGATGTTCTCTGAGCCTCACAGCTAGTCAGGGCAGAGCCAGCCTCTGGCCCAGCTCTACTGATTCCCTGAAGAACATGTCTTCTTCACATCTCTTCTTGTCCAAGGAACTTACCACTTCCGTGACTCCTAATAAACAGCTTTATTTGTGTTGGTGATTAGACACTGCAGTAAATCCCATTGCTGGCACTTTCTTGGAAGTACAGTTGAGCACCGAGAGAGTGGGAATAATGTATCTTCAGCATCTAATTATATAGATGTGTATTTCTATCACACTGCTTAGTGGACAACTTTTGCCTCTATAAAGAGAACATCCTCTGTCCATGAGATTTTAAAACTGTCATCTAGTTCTTTTCTGGGGCCAGGGGAGAGGGGAGGAGTCTTTAGAAAAATAAAAGGGGAACAGTGACCGTTTTCAATTATTCTAGAACAGCTGTAGAGTTTCAGGCAGGAAAAAGTAGCTGGATAAAAGCCCAAAAGCCTGATCCTGCCAAGTCGAGTCTCTGCAGCTGCTGCTCTCCCACCCCCAGAGATGAAGTGCTGAGCGACCTGGGCCGGAAGGGCTGTGAGCTGAGCACACAGAAAAGAGCTCCCGGGAGCAGTGGAGAACTGAGTCCAAACCCCGGCTTGTCTGTGTAGTGCAGCCTGGTCAGCTGTGCCCTGGGTGCATGATAAAAATGCATAGGGGCTGTCGTCGTGGGCTCAGGGGAGGGAGAGGCACTCTGCAGACATTCTCACAGGTTAGGGAGGGGGAGGGGCGTTGCTGCCCAGTGTCTTGGACCTCTTGTAGTCCTGCAGAGTGATGTGCTTAGCACTGGTCAGGCCAGCTCTGCACACAGCCACTTAGATCATATGATCAAGTATCTTTTAGTCTCCCTTCTCCTGTGCTTATGAGTCCAGAATTACTGTGACTTTGTACACTGAGCTATTGTTATTAGGAAACACATTTTCATTTTTTCCTCTCTCTTCCCCACCCCCACTTGTTTGGACTCTCACACAAGCCTCCTGACTGGCCCACCTTGCTCTGCGTCCCCTCCATGCCACCAGATGGAATTATTGAAACCTCAGACTAATCATATCATTCTGTGCTAAAAAAAACAAAGAAGTCTCCTCTGCTGCCCACTTCAACCATCTTGTCTCAACTTCACTTTTCTAACCTCTCCTGCATGCCTGGGTTAAGAATCAGGTCTGATCTGCTCACCTGTTGTGTTCCCAGCACCCAGCACAGAGCCTGCAGGTCAGAGCAGCTCAGTAAATAATTGCTGGATACATGGGTTCCCTTAAGCAAACTGCTCAACTGCAGGGAGTGTCAGGTTCCTCACCTGTGAAATGACTCCATACTTAAATTCCTTGGTTTTCATAAAAATTGAAGATAAAATGCATGAAACACTGTGCCTTGTTTATAATTTGTGCTCAGTAAATTGTTACTGTTATTATCCATTTGTTCACCTGACATACTATTAAAAAAACAAAACCTAAGCATGCCAGACCTATCCAAGGCAATGTAAGCACAGCATCAGACGAGTGGCCGAGATGATGAGAAATACAGAAGTGGAGAGAAAGGAAGGATCCTAGGGTGCGAGGACGAGGGCTTCATGGAGTCTGGATGGCTGGAGCTGAGTCTGAAGGACTTACTGGATATTTCTGGGGTCCCTTCAGCCTGTCATGTTCTGTGACTATGAAGCTTTCAACAGTAGGAATTTTTAGTGGACATGCAGGAGAGTTATATACTTCTCACTTTGTAGCATAATCCACCTCCACAAAAAGTCAGGTGTCATTTAATAAAAGAGGAGAAAAACCATTCTTAGTACAAGAGCCACCACGTCAGGGGTGTTTGTGTCCAGCCTCTTTGGCCCCTGTGCCCAGCAGGGGCCGCATTGCAAACCTCAGAAGGGAGGCACTTGGCCTTGGCAGGACCATGATCAGCTGTTGGTGGTATCTTGACATTTGGTATCTCTAAATGCTCCTGCTTCAATACTCCTTTCGTAGGCCCATCTTCTCTCGGTTGATAATAAACAGATGCTTGCTAAGATATAACAAACAGTTATTTGGGATCAGATGCCTCTCCAAAGAGTTGAACATTCTGGCCTCATGTAACCAAAGCACAGTAGTCTCTCCGACAGACGCTATCATTTCCCTTTCTAAAGAGAATAAATAAATGGAAACTTGGCCCTTCTTCTAAAAGGCTGCCCTTGCCTGCCCCTCTACAGCTGCCTGAATTCAAGAGCCACCTGGCACCAAGACCAGAGACGCCAGATATCCGGATTAGCTGATTGTGGAGGGTTTCTTTCTGTTCTGCCTCCGCCTTTTTTTTGTTTGTTTGTTTAATTGCAGGCCTATAAAGTTAATTTTATAGTCCTAATGAAACCTCGTCATGCACTCTTGCCACGGTGTTGCAAAAAACAAGAGTTCTTTCTTTAGAATTAGCACAAATACTCTCAAAACATTAAACTGAAATTCTAAATTTTTAAGATACAGTAACACCCTACCATAATGTGATAATTGGTATTCAAAAAAAATTATATGTGGAATTGCCTTGCTATGCAGTTCCTGTCGAGGGAGCGCCTGGTCCTGGCTGCACTTTGGCACCACCTGGTGGTGGGTGTCTGCTCTAACGAAACACTGCTGGGATGATTGGGGATCGGAGTCAGCACAGATTTCATCAGCCAGACTGGGGGTGTTGGGTCAGGAGAATATTGGGGGGCTCAGTGACCCACCCTCTGACTCCACGTTCCTCAGATGGGGTTGTCTGCCATTTCCCTGCCTGGGCTCTCTCTTCCCTTCATGTTCCTCACCCAGAAGTTGGGAACTTTAGGCCACCCCTTTTTGAGAAAGTTGGGGGTAGTGGACTCTGCAAGAGAGGACATTTGCCAAACATGGACACATTACTTTGGGTCTTACTGTCATGCAAACATGGACACGTTCCTGTGGGGCTTACCGTCTGTGTTAATAACATGGACACGTTCCTGTGGGGCTTACCGTGTGTGTTAACATGGACACGTTCCTGTGGGGCTTACCGTGTGTGTTAACATGGACACGTTCCTGTGGGGCTTACCGTCTGTGTTAACATGGACACGTTCCTGTGGGGCTAACCGTGTGTGTTAACATGGACACGTTCCTGTGGGGCTTACCGTCTGTGTTAACATGGACACATTACTGTGAAGTTTACTGTTTATGTTAACCGGTTTGTTATCCAGTGTGACTTTTTCCCCCACTTTCGGAAATAAAATAAATCTGAGGAAGGCATTAAAACATGGTAATGTCATATGAAGTCATGCTGTAAATGAGCTGTGCATGTGTCCAATATCACCATTCCTTTTATGGCTGAAATGTCAAGAAATTTACAGCATCTGGTGATTTGGGGCCCATTTCCCTCAGGGAGGAAAACACTATGAGAGTGCAGGCACCTCTTCGGGAGATGCATCCTTCCTTTGGTTGGGGCAGCACTCAGCATTGCCGCCCCGCTGTGCTGAAGGGCTGGGCATGTGAGAAAGCGCATATCCACATGGTGAGCTCCACAATTAGAGGGTTGTGTAGAATTCAGAAGGAGCATCATCAGTGTCCTTGAGAAGGCAGAGATGCACCTGCTGCTTAAATTCCTAAATAAGCTTTCTGGCATCTCACTTCCCTGATTGCGATTCTGTGTCATCTTCTCTATCAAGGCTAGGCTCCTACATCTCGTGTCTGGGGTTCTGTGTTATCTAGGTCACAGGCAGTTTCGAATCTGTTTCTTTTGCTCCTTCTCCAGCCCTATAGAAATCCCCTCTCTCTCCAGGCCCAGTGAGGGGCACCTGAGTCACCGACTACTCCAGAGCATATGCCATTTTCCCATGTAGCAGCTCTAGTGGTGACGTCCAACAGTGCCCTAAATTTACTGCTTCTCTTTATACATGGTTTCTGTGTATGTTAATCTTATGCACCCAAGTAGATGAAGTTACTAGAGAGGCGTTCTTGTCTTCCATTTCTTTTTAGATGGACCATCACGTTTGTTGACATGCTTAGAGAATACTTAGGATTGATGCAGTTGGCCATCATTTCATAAAAGTCCAAAAAAGTGGGCTTTCAGCATGATTGATTATTTATTCATGGTGTCAGAACCACAGATATCAAATGGTTCTAATAGTCATTACTCAGAGTTTAGATATTATAGTTGACTCTTGCTTTTAAGTAGAGCTTTCTTTTTTTCTTTTTAAAGGCTAAATGTATTGGAACGGTGTCATTAACAAATAGTATTTTGCAGAAAGAAAATCCTAACGTGAGGCCCACAGTTGTGTTCGTGATCATGGTTCTTTATCTGCCGTCTTTGACTCCCAGAAAGGTTTCAGGTCTGGCTTTGCTGTGTGGCCTTGGATGAGACACTTCACCTATCTGGGAGTTAACTTCCTCGTTCAAAAAGTGAACCCTTTGAGGGCCGACCCTGTGGCGCACTCGGGAGAGTGCGGCACTGGGAGCGCAGCGACACCCCCGCCACAGGTTCAGATCCTATATAGGAATGGCCGGTGCGTTCACTGGCTGAGCGCAGTGCGGAGACACCAAGCCAAGGGTTGCGATCCCCTTACCGGTCACGAAAAAGACAAAAAAAAAAAAAGTGAACCCTTTGAGACTCCTTCCAACTTTGATTCTGGAGCCCCTTTTCATCCCCTCCAGTCCCTCCTAAATATGTAAAATACAAGGGCCTTTGATTGAATTTCACTTGTTCTCTGAACACAACAGAGCCGCCAAGTCACAGGCACGTAGTCCACAGGCAGGCTTTTCCATTTCCCTTCTATTTCACAGATACGGCAATTCAGGCCCCCAATGAAAGTTTCGGTTCCAGGACAAGCTGTGTGCCTTTCCTCTAGTGTTTTGTCACGTTTAGCCAAGTGAAAATTTAAACTTTATCAGTGTGTACTTGTTAAATTCATTGAGCAAATATTTTGTAAATATTTATAAATAATATATCAAGCACCATTCTGGGTCCTAAATATACCTACTGTTTTTTTGTGTGTTTATAGAATTTATCCATTGCTAATAAAGTATGTAAGACTTAGAACATAAAAGAGGTAAAAAGCATCCTCTAAAACCCTTTGGAAAGTCATTTCTAAAAATCAGGATTGGAAAGGATTTATTTTATTTCCATAACATTTTTGAGCCAGTTTTGAATGTATGAATTGAAAGAGTAGCTGAATGACATGTCAGAAGTCTTTTATTTTTTAGCTGCTAGTCAATCTTTTATGTGCTATTTAACTCACTTTCTAAATATTAAAAGGGGGGTGGAGTAATTTACCAGCATTATTGAGTGTTTGGAAGTCATAGCCGCCCTGTGAAATCTGATTTCCATGCCTTGTTTTTTCTAGAAAAATGCATTTTGTATTTGTAACTAAAATTGTCAATATTCTGTATTTGAAGAGATTTCCTTTTTAAAAAATGAGGATAATAACTTTTTCTGTAAGTCCATCACATGTGGCAATATATGTATCTGTAATACACTGAAGATATTGTGCCATACCAGAGATACGAATAACAGAATTTCATATACTTTCAGACTCAAGAGTTTAGATTTCATTTGGGCAAGATTTACTAGTTAGATAAAATCCCCGAATCTGAATGATGAAATGGAACATATAGGCCACTAAGTGCATCCTTGGCCTTTACGTAGGAATCTCATACCAAAGAACTTCCATCATTTGCAGGAAAACTTTCAGTATTGGAGAACTTGTCACCTCCCAAGGCCTCCTGTTTCTTGGACAGTTTTTGTTTTTAAATAGTTTTTTTCTCATGCTGAGCTAATATCTGTCTTCCTATGACTTTCAGCCTGTGTGTGTCATTTGCAGCTACTTGAGATAAATCTGAGTCCTTTTCCATATGACTTCCGTTCACTTGTTTGAAGGTAGCTGTTATGTCCCCAATTCCTTCTGGCCATCCAAAACCCAATGGCTTAGTAACTTTTCACATGCTCAAGGTGAATTCCTGAGTCCCACATAATCATTGAACATCTGGTAGCTGGTTCTCAGCACATGTAGGGCTTCTGGGTGTGGTCTAGGCTGTCTTAGGAAAAGCCCCCGAAACTTGTCCTAAAATCAGTTGCATTGCAGTAGCAGCTCCTTTTGTTTATATGAATGTGCGTTCCAGACTTTGCTGTGTGAGGGATTTGTTTCATGCAGGCTGCCTTCACCGGGCTTCTTTAATGAGGCTGTGATGGGTACATGCAGCGTCTTTACCATGCCGTGTCTTTTATTGGGAGGCTAAGGGTTTGGCACTTGTCTCGTTGCAGGCTATCTAAACGTGCTCTCCAATAACCGCTGGCGGGAGCGCTGGTGCAGAGTAAAAGATAATAAGCTCATTTTCCACAAGGACAGGACCGATCTGAAGACGCATATTGTCTCCATTCCTCTCCGTGGCTGTGAGGTGATCCCAGGCTTGGATTCCAAACACCTGCTGACTTTCCGACTGCTTCGCAACGGGCAGGAGGTTGCTGTGTTAGAGGTACGGTATTTCCAGGAGCCGCATTTCAGTAGGTATATATGGTGATTTTCCTTCTAAAAGCCAAATTCTGACTCTACTTTCAAAATTCCTTACATCTTGCTCATAGCACCTTCTTTTTTTTTTTTTTGATTCATTCTGTTTTCTCTCACCTTGCCAGTTCTGTCAGTCTCTGCTCTCCTCCTTTTATCAAGTCCACTTTCTGAGAGACACGGACAGTGTGAGCAGCACCCTGCCAGTTTTTACCACATTGAACCCATGAGATTTGTTTGCCAGAGTTCCTCCTTGTTTTATTTCTTCTCTATACAGAAATTAAACACATGATTCCATGTAGGGGTTGCTTTTTTAAAGCACCATAAAATAGCTTTTTAAAAAATTTCCAATAAAACTTTTTTTCCCTAACCTCAGGCTACTTTACAGATGGCACAGACGTTGTTGGACCAACCAATTGCCCCATAGACAGTGGCCAGTGAGCCACATTACACGGAAACCAAAAGAACACCTTTGATTTTTAAGAACCCTTGTTTTGTATACATTTTATTATTTATTCCACTGCTTTTCTACAGCTTGTTATTCACTAAAGCAGAAAAAAGCAATTAAGACTAATAGCTACATTCTCAAAACTTTCATTTTTTTTTTTTTTCCTTTTTGTCTTTTTCCGTGTCCGGCAACGGATCGCAACCCTCAGTGTCGCGCCCGTACCAGACCGGGACCAGCAACGGGATCGCAACCCTCGGTGTTGCTCCCGCGCCTCGCTCAGCCAGTGAGCGGGAACCGGTCTGTATGTGGGATCCGAACCCTCGGCGGGAGCGCCGCCGCGCTTCCCAAGCGGCGCACTTAAGCAGTGCGCCACCGGGCCGGCCCTCAAAACTTTCATTTTTGAAAATTTTAATTTTATTTTTATCTTTTTATATTAACTTGTTTTCCACCCAGTAATAACTTAGACCTTTTTTTCTTTGTCTGCCCCTCCACACTTAGCATTATTATAATTAAGATGAAAAGACACACATATACATATATTCATGTAGTCACAAATATCAGACTGTAGAACTCCCAGAGTACATGGAAGTGTATTTATGCTATATAGTGAATAGAAATGAAGATACATTAGATTTGGTGGAATGGGCTCATGTGTACTCTAATCAGATGTCAAGTGAAATGACTATATAGTGACACTGATCACTGAAGGAGAAAGAGCCTGCAGCTATGACTAAAATCAAGGGCGCCCCGTTAGGCAAGCTGGAAGATCTAGAATTTCATACCTAGGAGTTTGTTTCGGGGACTGTTTTCACAGAAACTGCTTGTCCAGGGCGGGGGCAAAAAATAGATTAACAATATCTTCTTCTTTCTGCAGGGCTCAATAGCCCAGGAGTTTGAGGTAAGAGAAGGTCAGAAGGACGCATTGCCACCCTGGTGGCTGGCTTTGCAGCCATGTGCTCTCACAGAAAGACTGGGCCTGGTGGGCTCAGGATGGCTGGCTTCCAGTCTTCGCCCTGCTGTAGATTTTGATCACAACCAAAGTTTGTTCTCCTTTGTCTTCTTTATCTGTCTGTGAAACATGGGCACTGGGCTAGAATCAGTGCACTTTGTAGGCATTTATATGGGCTGAACACTTAAGAGAAGGACCTATACTCGCAGTGATGCAGGTCTCCTAGGAGGGCTTTGGCAGCAGATCTGAGAGGGGTTGCAAGGAAAAGGAGGTGTGAACTGGCACACACTGGATTTGAGAATGAAGAATGAGAAGCTGGCTGGACACTCAGAGGGAGAGAGAAGCCCAGTGTGGTGGGGGAGGGGGGAGGGAGGCAGGTGTCTGGTGAGGTAGCCACCCACCCCTCCTTTGCCAGGGCACTGCAGGTGCATGCCTCAAGTACTCAAAAGAATGTGGTGGTCTTTCCTAGCTTCTAGAATGCTTAGAACACTGGCATCCCTTAAAGACAGCAAGAGTTTGAAGTTTGACCAGCATCACTCAATGCAGGACATCTGTCTTCACAGCTGCAAAAGTGGCTTCACTTAAAAGTGACACACACACACACACACACACAACATTCCAACATAAGCAAGAAGTTCTGCCATAATCGGTAATGAGAGGCAGCGAGCCACCGAGTAAAGCTGTCATCTGTACTTTTTCCAAGAACATTCTATCTTAACTTCTGAGGTAATTTCAGAATTACAGAAAAGTTGCAAGAATAGTACAAAGAATGCCAGTATATCCTTTACCTATCTTCACCAAATGTTGACATTTTTTCATATTTGGTATCTCTTGCACTCACTGTCTTTCTCTGTATGTACATATGTATGTATGTATATTCATATATGTATATATAAAGATTTTTAGAACTTCTTGCAGGCATTGTCCCTTTACCCCTAAACACTCAGTGTGTATTTGCTTAAAAACAAGAGTATCCCTTACCATAGTATAATTATCAAAATCAGGAAATTAACATTCATACAGTACTATTATCTGATTTCTGGATCTTAATCAGATTTTCTTAGTTATTCCAATAATGTACTTTATAAGCAGAAGGAAATCCCAGATCGTGTGTTGCACTTGGCTGCCAAGTCTCTTTAGCCTCCTCTGTCTGTCTGGTTTCATGACATTGATACTTTTGAAGGATACAGACCAGTTATTTTGCAGAAGATTCCTGGGTTTGGGCATGTCTGCTGTTTCCTCGCATTAGAATCTGGATAGGCATCCTTGGCAGGAGCCCCTGGAACTGGTGGCATACTTTGCAGTGCATCATATCAGGAGGCACAGGGGTCAGTTTGTCTCACTACTAGTGATATTAATTTTGAACCCTTGGGCAAGGTTGCCCTGCTATAAGTTTACTGCATTTCCCTTTATCTTTAATAAGTTATCAGGTGGGAAGGTCCTTTGAGACTCTGTAGCTATCCTTTTATTACTCACAATTTTACCCACTGATTTTAGCATCCATTAATGACTCTTGCCTGAAACAATCATAATGACAGTCACTAAGTGGTGACTTTCTAATTCCATTATTCCTTGTACATTTATTAGTTGGCATCTACTATGAGGAAGATTTTTCCCTTCTTCCCATTTAATTAATTATTCATTTATGCATGTGTATATATCAGTAGGGATTCATAGATTATCATTTTAATCAGTGATGATAATCCTTTATTGTAATAATTTATTTTGGTCAAGTTATCACAGATTTGGCTAACAAGAGCCCCTTTGAACTGGCTCTTGTGTCCTTTGTTACATCCCGGTAATAAAGAGACCACAGTCCTCATCATTCTCTGAGCATTTTCCTTCTGCTGCGGCACAGTAGATGCTCTGGGCTCGTCTCGTACTTTTCCCTGACCCTGCCTGGAGTCAGCCACCTCTCCAAAGACCGCTGGTTCCTCTGAGTGGAGACAGGATTTAGAAACCAGGATCTGGGTACTGGGCTGTCATTGCTTCTAGGCCTTTTCAGCAGACAAACACAAGAAATAGGTACACACACACTCTTGTGTGTTTTTATGCTGTACATATGATATATGTGTGTAAACGCACACATATATGTGAATAATACACCCACACACATCCATGTCTGTCTGTATATCTATATATTAAAAGTATTCAAAGCCATGAGATCATAACAAATACCTTCAATTCCAGTCCAACAACACAGGGTTATTTTTTAAAAGCTCATGAGGAAATTTCATACAATGAACTGTGAAGAAAATAATTAGTAAATTCTAGTGTAATAGTATCAGTCACATCCTAGATATTAATTGTGTTAAAATACTTTTTAAAAATGCTCTGATGGAATAGGTGTAGATGCATAGGTATAGATTTAGTCCTGGTTACATTTTTTTTTTTTTTGTGACCAGTAAGGGGATCGTACGTAACCCTTGGCTTGGTGTCACCCGCACCACGCTCAGCCAGTGAGTGCACCGGCCATCCCTATATAGGATCCGAACCCACGGCCTTGGCACTCCCAACGCCACACTCTCCTGAGTGAGCCACGGGGTCGGCCCCTGTATACATTTTTGATGTAGATGTTTTTTGGGGAAGGACAAAAGACCTGTGAAGAGAACACATTTGTGATTTTTAAAAAATCCAAGTATTCAAATAAATTCATTTAAATTTGGCAAACACTGATTACATTCTTACTCTTTGCAAGACACATAATTAGAATCCACTCACTTTGTCCTAATACCCCATTTGGTACAGGTTAGGAGTGGTTTGTTATGTGGAAAATATCACTAGCTAGTTTTACCAACATACAAAAATAGTTGCTTCTTCATTAATGGCTCTTCCTCTAGAGAGGCTATGGTATGTGGCATGGAATATTTACAATTACTTATATTCTGATCAGTGTTCAACTTGTCAAGGTTATAATTAGATAACTCAATTTTCTTTTAGCCTTTAAGCTCAACATACAGGTCTTTATTTTAAAAATCAGTAATTTTTATAAAAAAATAAAATTTATTTTTTCTCCAACACTTAGTTAACTCATAAATTTGGTAGCTCAATTTCTTCTAAACTTTAACCATTATTTATGTATTTGATTAATCTTATTTAATCATTTAAACATTTAACTTATTTAAACATTTAGAATGCCATCAAAAATGTAATTAACTGATTTTCTAAATCACTTAACAAGGATGGCTTAGAAATTTAATGAATGTAATCTCGAAGATATATTTCAAACTTGCAAATTAAGCAGAACAAATTGGGGGACAGATTTCAGACATCTTAAAAAGAAGCCCAGTGACTACGAAACATCATTACACCCATAGAAACACAACTGATGTAAAAGTAAATTAATTTTTTATGCCATCTAATCAAGAGAAACAAAATTGCCATTTCAGGCACATATAGGGGACCTCAGAAAGGGCTACTGGCCATGGAAGTTGGAGACCAGTACAGGCATAGATAGGCATGATTTTGCTTTCCAAGTGAGGCCAATGTCAGTGGGAGAGGGCTCCTTTTATGGCCAGATTTTGTTGCCAAATTAATGAGGGTTTCTAAACAACTTCTTTAGCTGGAATTTAATTAATCACATTAACTGTCTTACACCCTAGAACCTTTCTCCAAAACAACTGGAAGGTATTTTAGGACCTTAGATTTTTATTACCTTTGGTTATAATCATTTTGTAACTTCCTGCATTAAGGCTTAGTTAGTATGCATGCTGTGTAATCCCATTCCTCAGGCAATGACTATCTTCTTTCTCATTTAAACTTATGTGCTTCATGTTTCATTGCCTTTCCTATTATATGGCCTATTTACTGACACATTTATGAAAATTTAAAAACGGTTTATCTTTACTTAAATAAAATGCATTTTTTCCTTCACCTTGACAGGCATCTTCTTCTGAAGAAATGGGCAGATGGATTGGAATTTTACTAGCTGAGACAGGGTCATCCACAGACCCAGGTGCTCTTCATTATGACTATATAGATGTGGAGATGTCCGCAAACGTCATTCAGACAGCCAAGCAAACCTTCTGGTAAGGCCTGTTACAGGTGAAATGGCATCAAAGTCCAATAATTTTCTTTTCCCTAATTTTTTAACTTAGCTTTTGTGTGAGTATTTAGACTCAAAAAAAAACTAAAGACTTTCCCTTTTGTAGTATATTAATCTAAATTTTGCTGAAGTGTTTTTGTCATTCCAACCCTCTGGGTTTTCTGTTAGAGCAAGGGTTAGCAAACTTGTCGTATGAAGCACCTATAGTAAATATTTTTGGCTCTGTGGGCCAAACATTCTGTGTTCTAACCACTCAGCCCTGCCTTTGCAGCCAAAGACAATAAATAAATAAATGGATGTGGATGTGTACCAATAAAACTTTATTTGCAAAAACAGGCAGTGGGCCAGATTTGGTCTGTGGGCTATAGTTTGCCAACTCCTGTTATAGGGTACAGTTCTATGAGGCTGATATGATTCTACATATTGCTATAATGAGGACTGAGTTTCTAGAACCACCAATCAAGTACTTTGTAAATTTAAATTGTGATTTTTATAAAATACTGTTATGCATAAAGATGTCCTTTTGAACTGTGAATACTTGTTTAACATAATGATGCCAAAGATTTCTATCGCGGCAGTCTCAGTGTGGTCCACACACCCCTAGATGTATTCGAGACCCTTTCGGGTAGTCTGCAAGGTCAAAAGTACTTTCATAATAATACTAAGACATTGTTTTCCCTCTTCACTGTTCTGATATTTGCGTCGGTGATTGCAGAAGCAATGTGGTAAATCTGGCTCCTGTGTGTGTTGTAGTCGCAGCACACTGGACTAGTAATCATTAATGTTTGTCCCCAGCACACATTTGCAGCAGTGAAAAAAGATGCTGGATTCACTTCAGATGTCCTTGACGAAGCAGTAAAAAATTATTACTTTTTCTGTAAAGGGCCAGACAACAGATACTTTTATTAAATCTCTTAAGTACATGTCTTTTAATATTCTGTGTGATGTAACAGGAAGGCCACATAAAGCACTCATATGTGCAGATCCACAGTGCAAAACCAACTGACAAACTTAGGTGTTTGCATACATTTTTTTGAAAATGTACTAACTTCACCTATTATCTGTAGGAAAACAATTGGCAATATTTGTTGCCTGTGCTATCTTTGAGCTTTTACTCAGAAATTATAATTTTGGAAAATCTGTACCTGCCACCTTGAGCTTGACAGTGTCTCAACATGTATAGACTCTTCTGATGAGTTTGGTAGTGATATCAATGAGTGTGATTTTTTTGATATTGTGTAATGAAGTGTGTCAACAGTTAAAAGATCTGCCTAAGTCATGCGTGGTGAAAGATCCTTTCCAAGTGAAGAGAAGCTACTGGATTTGTGTAAAAGGGTACAGTAAGTTCATTGATGTGATTTCAGATTCCACATTGCAACTAATTGTTTAGAAACTACTCAACTACTTATTGACTTTTGGTGTAATATCAAAGAATTCTTTATGTATCGACCACTATCTGAAAAAGCTATTATAATATACCTCACTTTTCCACTACATATCTGTGTGAGGCTGGATTTTCTTCATAGAGTTCAGCCAAAACAGCATATTGTAACAGCTTGAATGCAGAAGCGCGTGTGAGAATCCAGCTCTATTCTATTAAGCCAACATTAAATAGATTTACAGACATGTAGAACAAAGCCACTTTTCTCACTAGTAGTTGTTTATTTTGGAAAATAGAGTTTTCATAAAAATATTTAAGTTGAAATATTATGGATTCATTACTGTTATTTTTAAGTGAATGAGAGTGCTCTCTCAGACGGTGGAACCCTTCAAGTATGGAGAGAGGAACTCAAATATTCACACTGTTTGCCCGTTCTGTATGAACACCACTGTCTAGTTTTTCTGCACAAGTGGTGTTTGTGGAGAATTTGAGCAGTCTCCCTTTGTATCTTGAATGACAAATGAACATTTATCTAATGCTTGGCTAGGACATTCTAGAGCTAAGAAATAGTTTTTCTCAGAGTAAAGATAATTTGGCTCATATTAAGAATCAAGCCACCATGTTACACCCAACTAAGGTAAATAGCCTTGATAAAACGAATTTGTATCCTACAAATTTGCCAGAAAATCCTCAGTAATGCTAGAGGTTTTCTAAAGTAAACTTCCCACAGTTCTGTGTGAAAATCAGGACAGATATAGTCAAGTACTGATGTGTACTCATTACTGTTTAATTAGCAAAATGTTGATAAATTACAATGACTCTTCTAACCATTAGGTACTATGTATTAAATAAAGCACATGTAAAGTGGCTTTTTAAGGAATGTAATATCCATAAATCTAGTTTTGCAAAATCTGCACAACTAGATTGACATGAAGTATTTATGTTTGTTAACTATACTTATTTGGAAGTTACTAGATTTCAAAAAATCTATCCTAAGTTCACATGTAACTTCAAGTATAATCAGCAAACTGATAACCACGTTTAAAAAAAACCCTGAATAAAAATATTTTCCCAAGAACACAACTTGGCTTTTGCTTTATAAATGAATGGAATATTAATCTAAATTAAATGTGGAAAGGTCACATTTTTGAGAAAGGAATTTAGATTGTAGTATTGAAAAATTATTCATTAAAAATATGCATGTAATGAATTTATGACTGCAAGAATCTTTTCTACCTCATTAAAATCTTTATAGGAGATGTCAGTTAGCAATAAAGTTTATTTTCATTTTTTAATTTTCTGGCCAAACATTCCTGTACAACTTGAGAGATGAGATTTAACAAGGAAACAATATTCATAATATGGTAGCTTGCTGGTGTGATAAATATTCTAAGGGTAAGTTTATTGGTTTTATATAAACTGGCAGTCAGTTAATGCATCTCATGAAGATTATTAGGAGAATTATCTGTGCATTGTATGTGTCTGAAGGATAAAGGGCAATCATTTATTTGGAAAGAGAACAGTAGGAGAAAAAATAATAATGTGGATTCTCCCAGGGAAAATGGAATATTTAGGAATATTAATAATGATAAACAACTGGAACATATTTTCCTGAGAGCCTGTTTTAACTGAGATTTATAGATTATATGAGGGCACTTTGAAAAGCACCTGGAAAGATTTTTATTTTCTCTTAATGCTATCTTTTCAAGCACTTTCTGAAGTACCCTTATATAATACAGGGGAAATATTCTGAAGTTTTCTCCTAAAACTCTTTTGAAGTCACTCTCAGTTGCAGGTCCATCAGAAAGCTGTAATACTAGTGGTGCTGACAAAAGTAGTGGGTCAGTGGGACTGGAGAGAGGGCACTGGACACCTGCCGGGACCCGGTTCTCTTAAGCCCCATCTCATCTCAATCCTGGGGAGATTATTTAAAAATATTTCCTATGGTCTTCTTATGTTTTTGGTTTAACAAGTGGCATGTGGCTTCTTACCTCATTTCTACTTTTATATCTAGTAAAAAATCATATTGTGGAAAGAGTACCAGCCAAAGACGCGGGGCCTGGTATTTAGTCTGGGCTTTATTTGCCCTTCGGGGCCCAGGAGAGCTGTTTTGCTCACTGGGTCCAGGTCTCTCCCCATAATATAAGGGGGTAGACTAGCTGGTGGCAAAGGTGTCGTCTAACTAGGACATTCTGTGTGTCTGGGACCTTTCATTCCTGTGCCCCTTGAGTCCTGTCAAGTGACACTGTTAAACCATGCTGTGGGTGTCTCTTCCATTTGAGGAAGCAGGAGTGAGTCCGTTGAGGGCTCTGACTCCATCCTCTGTCTCGTGCCATCCTGCCGCGTGTGCATCAGTGGTGAGCATCAGGCACAGGGCTAGGAACTGAGGATGCAAACCAAGTGTGAGCTAGCCCCTGCTGTGGGAGGCAAAAGACTCATAAACAAATGCGGGTCACGGGGCTCAGTTGCAGTGGGTGGCTGCTTGGGGCCAGCAGGCTCACAGGGGACATGGTCATCATAGCTGGGCTTACTTTCATTCACCCATGTACTGCCCCTCTACAAAGACTGTGCATAGTGCCTTACCCAAAACCTCAAATGACACATTCTATCATTGAAGAGTTCTTAAATGTTTAAGTTTTGCTACGTCTTTCCTCTTTGCATTTTTTTCTCTTCCTATGCATATTTTTCTTACATACACTTTTATGTGTCCTAAGTGTCGAATGAGTATATTAGGTTTTTGCAAGTGAAGGAAGAGTTTTATAAATGAAGCAATGTGCTTCAAGTAGAAGGAGAGTGTGCTGTGCTCTCCCCAGCAGAGGGCAGCATGCACACTCTGTAGTGCTTTCCCTGCTGCAGCACTGGGCGAGGGCGTTGTCTGCTAGAGTGATGCCCAGGCTGTACCCTGAGACATGGTCTGCTTGAGCGATGCCCAGGCTATGTCCTGGGACGTGGTCTGCTCATGCTATTCCCAGGCTGTGCCCTGGGACTCTGGTCTGCTAGAGTGATGCCCGGGCTATGTCCTGGGACGTGGTCTACTCAAGCAATTCCCAGGCTGTGCCCTGGGACTCTGGTCTGCTCAAGTGATGCCCAGACTATGCCCTGGGACGTGGTCTCTCCCTCACTCTCGAGTCGGAACGTGCAGGGCAACCGTGTGGCAAGACTTCTCATTAAATAGGCAGTTTTCACTCTGCCTGAATTTCCCTTGCTGTTTTTTATTTACTCTTTTTTGTTCTTCTGGTGACCATAGAAATGTAAGATCCTGTGAAGACACAAAATTTGGACTAAAAACCAATCAGTTTTTAATTCTAGTCTACGTTAATTTTCGCCAATGAGAAGAAACTGCCACGTAGGTTGTTTCTTCCACAGGTTTTACACTTTTGCTTGTAGCAGACATAGCTTTGTGAGTAAGCCCCTATGCATCGAGCACTGTGTGTACTTGAGGCTCAGGAAGACCAAAATTGACAAAGGCTGTGCTCTCCTGAAGCTGCCATTCCAGTGGGGAGAAACAGACAAGAAACAAGAAAATGCGTGATATGCCAGGCAGCGATTGGTGAGACAAGAAGGAGGCAGCAGGGAGGAAGGCCACAGTGCAGTGTGGGAGGTGGGGTGTTTTACTCGGGTGGTCAGGGACAGCCTCTTGGTAAGTGGCCCTCAAGCAGAGACATCAGGTAGTGGGGACAGCGGAGAGGAGCTCACCAGGCAGATGGCCAGTGAGACCCTGAGGGCCATCAGGATGTCCACAGGTTGGCAGGAGTGTCAGGGACAAGACAGGAGGAAGCGGGGACCAGAGGCATGGCAGCACTTTGGAGTTTCCTCTGAGCCACTCAAGAAGCCCCTGGGAAGTTCGGGCAGAGGGTCAATGTGATCTGGCTGCCTTCTGTTGCAGGAGGAGGAAATGGCTTCCTCTTTCCACACACCCAACACCCTCACCCTCCTCTGGCCACCCAATGGCAGTGTTCCCCCACACCATGCAATTTTCTGCTTCTGTGGAGACACCAGCGTGATGTCCCATTTCTGCCCCACACTGTCTAATACTTCTCCTCTGTCCCCAACAGCCTCCGATGCAGCCTGAGCATAAAGCCAGAACTCCTTTGACACTTGTTTGATTAGAGGAAAAAGTAGTCAGGTTATGGCTTTCAACTCATTTTCTTTCTTGCAGTTTCATGAACAGGCGTGTTATATCTGCTAACCCATACCGAGGGAGCACGTCCAACGGCTATGCCCACCCCAGCGGGGCGGCACTTCACTATGATGACGTCCCCTGCATAAACGGCTCGGTGAGTGTGCCATTCTTCCAGAGCACATGGCTGGTTTTGTTGAAGGCAACACTGTCTGAAAAACTCTGTACGTTAGTAGTCCCGGTTTCAGTCCAAAGGTGATAGGCTTTTATTTTTTAATGCTTTGATGTAAGAGGAAAACTCCATCCCATCTCTCATCTTCTGGTTTCTTGATATGCTGCTCGCTTAATCAGCACTTGAACAAGTGGGTAATTTGACACCAGAAGACAGTTTGTCCTTTAATATCAACGTCATTAATTAAACATTTCAGCACACTTAAAAATATTGACTAAAGGACAGCATTTGAGAGCCTGTAACTTAGATAAATCAAAATATAACAGTGTAAGTTGATTAAAATGCTAGAAATCACCATCAGGAAGGAAGCTCTGCGGTAGAGTAATGACCATATCACACACTCAAGACGCTTCCCTTGTGGTAGATTTGTGACAGCTGGGGCTTGTGACTCCCAGCTCAGGTCTCTGGAGAGATTTTGTGCAGACTTTTGCACTGAGCTAGTCTCCAGGGCCTGCTTGGCCTTAGGAGTTTTTGATGTTCTCAGAATTCTGTGTCTTCTGTGTAATGAATAGAGCATATCGATAAACATTTGTTTTACTGTGTCTCCATATCATCCACCTAATATCCATTCATTGAGCATCCACTCTGATCTGGGCACTGTGTCCAGGTTGTGCCTTGTTCAAAGATGAGGCCTTCACAGAGTCAACAGAGGAATGAGAGGCACGTGAAGAATCATCATGCCTTTGGCCTCCCAGTGTTGGCATCTACGCCAAGATGTTTTTCAAATTAAAATTGGCATCTGTGTTAAGATATTTTTCAAAAGTAGGCATAGAGTATGCTTATTGTGATTTTTTTTCAACCTTCAAACATATTTTGAGTTTTTTCTTCTTACTGTTTTGCTTTTCCATTTTTTTCTCCAACATTTTGATGGATGCCATCAATCAGTTCCACGTTATGTATCATCATAAAATCCACACCTGCCCAGGCAGGCACCTGAAAGCAGCTGCCTCCTCCAGGGAAGTGAGAGGCTCAGGAGAATAAACACACTGACCTAGGTCAGAGGAGGCTGGCGATTAATGAAGAGCTCACATGCAGTGGATCCTGGGGCCTCCTCCTATGGGACGCTCCCTGCTGCCCCATTGCACTTGCCCTGGGGTCCTGCCAGGGGGAGGCAGTCTGTCCATGGGCACCTGCTTGATTCTGGAAAGGGATCTTCTCATCATGTGGTCCTCCTCCTCCTCTCCTCACCTCCTCCCTTCCCTTCTTTCTTCCCTACTTCCCTCTTTCCTCCCCTCCTTCCTTCCCTCTTTCCTCCTCTTTCCCTTGCCCTGTTTGCTGGGTGTCTCCTAGTGACCATGCTCTGTGCTAGGAATTGACAAAAAAGTAGATAGGATATTGTCTTTGTCCTTAAAGGACCACTCAGACTGGTGGGTGTGAGCAGACCTGGGAATGAAACAAGGAGATGAGAGGAAGAGCCAGGCATGGCAGGGGTCCCCTTGTAAATTTCGTGTTGGGATGTGGGTGTCAGGGTGTGGCAGAGCCACTTTCACATCCATTCTAGCTGCATAGGTCATCCAGTAGAGGCCCCCATCTTGGGGGCAGGGCGGGAAATTAGGTTCAGTCACTCTCATCCTTGACCCCTGTTCCTACCCCCCAACCCCCGGGGTCTCCAGCCTTTGAGGAACTCCTGGCGCCCACTCTACCGTAGCCTTCTACCCCTGCAGAGGGGCTTGGGCAGGCCCTTCTTACAGAGGCATAGCACTGTGGTGCAGACCTCTAGAGCAGGGCTGTTAGTCCTCTCTCCACACTTCCTTCTAGTTGATGCCCCATTTCCAAGGTGGGACCCTGTTCTCCTGGCCGCATTTGCTCTGTGTAGCCATCAAGTGTCTTTCGACAGACAGTCTTTTCCCTGGTTTTAGACTAGCCTTTGACCTTAGCCTTCAACTTTTTTGGAAAGATAACTCACAAACCTGTGTGTAGACCTCCCTACCTGCAGACTCTTTCATATATCTTTTCTCAGAGGTGTTTCTGCACATCCATCCCTTAAATGTGAATCTACAAGGGCGAGATGGCTGGTTTACAGAATCCACAGAACAACACAGATACTTGTTTAGTTCAGACTTACATTATACTGGCATAGGCGACCCCCAGGAGGGAGTTTTCCTTAGGTCATTCACAGCTTAATCTGTCCTAGACGTAAAAACCTGCCATGCTTAAGGGCTTTGCGTTGAGGAATCGTTTCTGTGTGAATCGTTTCTGTATTGCTGGGCTGGCGGTGGAAGCTCTTCAGACATAACATCCTGTGTGCATATTTGTGGCTTTTTTGCTTAGTAAGGGATTCCTCTGCTCAGGCCCTTCTTTAAACTATTTTTCTACATGCTGAGCTCTGTTACATGCTCCAAAAAGTCTCTTTTTTGGAGGGCTTAATTTCTAAATTTTATAAAGTTATACTTTATGACCCAATACCTGACATTTTAGTAGTGTTTTGGCATCAGTAATTCTTACCCATTCAGTGTTCCCTCTGATGCTTAAACCAAAATGAAGGTATGCACACACTCACTTTTAATCTAGAAACTTCTATGGCGTTTCTGTCGGTGTTTTCTGAGTCTTTCATATGACTTAATTCTTGGTATTTTAGGAAAATGATAGTCTAGTCTAGGCCATTTTAATAACTCTGGACAAATATATGCTAAGTTGTCATTACGAAACTCTCACATGCAAGTTTTTCTGCTTGTACCATTATTCTTAGATTATAGGTGGGTCCCCAGCATCCCCAAAATAGACATACTGAAGTGATTGCAAAGGAATAGAAACACTCCTACTGTGGAATTTTAAATCTTTTCTATTTTTATAACAAAAGGTTGTAATTACAGTCTGGCAGAAAGGAACCCTGCAAGAAGACTATAAAAACAGGATGAAATGAGTATAATATATGAATTAATATTGCCTTTTTTGGAACGCCAGGCAGTTTGTGAAGATCTTTAAACTTAAAAGGATCTGGCTGTGGTTATTAATTTTTGGTTTTAACTTATACTTTAATGTCTGTGTTCTAAAATTTCTCTGTTCTGTGAAGTGGCTTATAGCTATTTTAGTCCTTTGTTAAAGGTTTTCCATTAAAATAATGCTCTATGGCCATTAGATTTTGAAACAGCCTATTTTCTATGATGGTTTGATTTCTTTCTTGATCAGACTGTGTTTTGGTGAAGGCACTTTCTTCAGGCGCAGCAGAGTATGGGACAGAATGGTGCATGTTGATAGTTACCCGTGGATCTAAACCGTTGACTCCTGCATGGTGGGCCTTTGGGAATCTGCATGTGGTCTAAATTCCAACACCGTGCCCTCTCCTCAGAGGAGCCCAAGGCTTAGGGGAAGCATAGCATGCTGTGATGTCCACAGCACTGAAGTCCGGTCCTGCCTCTTACCAGTGACATCACCTGTCTGGGCCTCAGTTTCCTGTTGCCTCCTAAGATTACTATGAGATTTAATGAGTCAGTAATCGTAAAGCAGCATGCAAACAGCATCTGGAACACTGCAAGTGCTGTAAAATGAGGTAGAGTGCTTTGTCAGGATCCCATAAGTCTCCTCGCAGAGCTGGGGCTCCAGGCCTCCAGGCCAGCAATCCTCTCCTTCCTTCCACGTTCATGTCCTGGATTAGAGGACTTCCAAACTCTGGTTCTATAAAGAAGGAAATGTTAAATCAGTACTTTTTTTCCTGCTTTTAAAACCAGAACAAAACAAAAGCTTTATAATCCAGTGGACCTGTGAATGATTTAAAGAAAAAAGAAATTTTTCCTTAAGACCCCAAAAGTTAAAAAGTTCTTTTGAGTCAATCCACTTGTTTGTGTGGGTGTGGTATGGGTATGGTATATGTGTGTGTATGTGTGTGGTGTATGTCTGGTGTGAGTGTGAGTTTGTGGTGTGAGTGTGTGTTTTATTGATAAACAACTGCAGGTCTGTGTATGTAAGTGTTTTGGGGTTCTGGTAACATCTTGCTGTGCTAAAATCTGCTATGTTTTTTGTGTCCAAGTCACTAATGACGAAGCTATGTGTGTTGCAGTGGGAACCAGAAGATGGCTTTCCTGCTTCCTGTAGCAGAGGCTTGGGAGAAGAGGTGCTTTATGATAATGCAGGCCTGTACGATAACTTGCCGTCTCCGAAAATCTTTGCACGCTACTCTGCTGCTGACAAAAAGGCTTCTAGGTTCTGTGCTGACAAGCTGTCCTCTAACCATTACAAACACCCTGCCTCCTCCAGCCTGCCTTCCAACCAGTCTGTAACTAACACCTCTTCTCTGGGGAGGGCATCTCTCGGGCTCAACTCCCAGGTATCGCAACCCATTCTATAATATTCTAGAATCATCTTTAAGTCCTTCTCTTCCAACATAGTTTGCAACTTGTAGTAAATGGGACTCATCAAGGGGAAAGCATAATTTCCTTCCTCAACCAGGGTATAATTTGCATTTGGCCACCAGGGAACTGAAGGAACACTCCTGCCTCGCCCATGGCTTACCTGCGCCCTGTCCTCCTTTGCCTACATCTGGCTCTCTCTGCATTCTTAGAAAATTCCTCAGTGAATTCTGTGAGTTACATCAACTGGAAGCAAAGATTTTAAAATGAACGGGGGCAGTAAAACTTTTCAGAAGATTCTTGAACTGCAAGTTTTTTTAATATGTTTCCATTACATATAAATGAGGAAGTAATTGCTTTCCATCTTTAAACATGAAATAGGATTATTTTCAGAGTGCTGTAGTATTTTTCCATGATGAATGTAAACATATATTCCCTAAAACCTAGTGGGTGATAATAAGAACTTTGGATGATCATTGGATGGTAAATAAGCTTGATACTGAACTGTTGTTCATTCCACACCCTGTATTTGTGGCAAATTAACATTTCAGAGTAAATACTAATTTTGTGTTTTCATGCATTTTTAACCTAAGAATTTTTTGTGCTTTGCCTAAAGATCTAAGCACCAGATGTAAGAATTCTAACATAAAGGAAATGGGCATTTAAAAACTTTTTTCTTTTCCCTTTATTCTTTGGGTAATCTTAGTAATGAATGCCAGGTAAGATCCTAGAATTTCAGATAGCAGTGGTCAGAGCGGCACTTCCCGATAGATTAGCTTTATCAAAAAATCACATGGGACAGTTGTATGTTTTGGATTTTTAACAACATTTGCTCAGATCTCATCCCTGGAGATTCTGGTTCACTGAGTTTGAGAGGCCCAAACTGATGTGTACTCAGCAGTGGGAGCCACTGGCCTCCAGTATGAGTCCCTGTGCCAGAAATCTGTGGTTATGTATATATTCCACTTACCTAGTGAACATGTATCTATGTATTTATCTGTCTTTGTATTGGTATTAGAGTTACCTTAGGTAAAAAAAAAAAAAAAAAGTGACAAAATATGCCACCCGGTACAATTGGATTGTCCCCAAATTAGTTGGGAATCCTTGATGCATGATTTTTGTGTAGAGTTTTTATGTTGTCTTTGTTCATTTTTGCTTTGTTTTTGTTTTAAGTAGAAAACATGTTTGCAAGTTGCATTATAGTATCTTTAGTTGTCTTGTCCTCATTTGATCATTTTAATGGGAACCTATCATTTAATGGAGGGACCTTACACTCACTGAACACTTACCACATACTATAGGCTGTGCATATGCATGGTACGTCATTGGATCTTTGTGGGAGCCCTGTAAGGAGGTATTGGAGTCTCCATATTCTTAAACGATCAAACGGAGGCTCAGAAAGCTTTAATGACCTGCTCAGCATCTACTAAGTGATGGAGCCAGAATTGAAGCAAGATCTGTCTGCGTCCCCCAAACTGAGGCCCACACAGAAGGAAGTGTAATATTATGGAAGAAACATGGGCTTGGATATCTAGAGCTAACCTCTGCCATCAAGCTGAATATATTACCACTAATACCACTTAGGCAAAATACAAAATTTGTTGTCTTACAGCAATCAAAAAAGTAGGGATACTATTTAATTTTTTAAACACCTGTCTTAGTCAAAATTTGGCTTCTATATTATTTGTACTGTTTCTATATAGGTTCTCTTGCTTCCTTCCTCAGACCCTGTCAGTGAATCAAAAGGCAGTTATTTATCCCATTAGGATGTCACTCCGTGTGACAGCCCTTGAAGCAGAAATCTAACTGCACAGTCATGCTACTCCCGTAAAAAGCATTCCACTAAAATAAAAGCCATTTATCTTTAGAAACACAAACTTAAATTAGTCTCAATGGAATGCTCTTGAGTAGTCCACCGCCTGTGCCAGTCTCCTGATTAGCATTTGCTTGTCATCTCCCAATAGGAAGGCATAACTTCAGCAACATTCCAACTGAAGACAACTAGGTCTTCCTTTGTCATGAACCTCAACACTTGACTCTTCTTAACCATTCTAGAGAAAACACAGCAGTCTAATGTTTGGAAATGAAATTAGTTTTCTGTTACCTTTATTTTTTCTCTGTCTGTGCTAGGTTCTACTTAATGAGTAAGAAACTGAAATAAGTTACTGCAGAAAAAAAAATTTTTTTTTTCATTTTGTTTTAATTGTCTTACGTGTTTATTTCAGCAGTTCAAGAGTAAAAAGCCCCCAGTGGCATCTAATGGGGTTACAGGAAAAGGGAAGACTCAGAGCAGTCAGCCAAAGAAAGCTGATTCTGCAGCCGGCGTGAAACGGACAGCGTCAAGTAAGTTTGTCGTTGGATATCTCACTTCCTCATCGTGAGTGCAGTTGGCAGAGTCAGGGCTGTCTGAGCCTGCTTACGCAGCATATGCCAGGTTTGGGTTCAGCTGGAGAGATGGAACAGGACGCGGTACCATCCCTACTCGTTTGCTGGGTTGAAGAATGGCGATGACTTCTAACCCAGCTTTTATAGCTGTTGCATGTAAAAGGAAACAACTGGTTTGTGAACTGTGGAACTGGTTAAGCACGTTTAAATGGGAGGTAATTGTAAGTGCAGGATGCTGTGCAGCTCCACGTGGCTCTGGACTTCAGGTCAGGAGACCTTGGTTTGTGTCCCCAATCTGCTATTGACAAGTCACATAAACTTTCTAAACTCAGCTTCTTCATCTGTTAGACATGGAAACAAATGGCTACTGTGGTTGCTGCAATTGAAATAAGTGCGGTAGCACTTGTACCTCAAAGCAATAGAGAAACACAGGGATTTATGAGGAATCGTTAATCCCACAGTATATTGTAGCCTATAGCAAACCATTGTTTATCTTATCCTGTTTATTTCTCGTGGCCACTTTATCAGGGTACATGTTGTCATTTACCCCATTATACAAGTGAGAAAAGACTGTCCAAGTGGTTAAGTGGCTCCCCTGAGGTCTCACAGCTGGCAGATAACAGAGCTGGCCCGAGTACCAGGCTTTCAGACTCCAAATCTAGCGGGAAATGGACTGGGCAGAGAAGCAGTAAGACAGGAGTGAGAGACTCTCTTCCTTCATCATGCTCCAGATAGGTAACAAGGGGACCCTGTTGTCTGTGTGTTTGTGTTTGCTTTTGCCTCCATTCTGCTGGATGGCTGGTCATTCCTCCTAACAGGGAGCTGGCCAGGCAGTGTTTTCTATACAAGGCACTCTACTTGTTGCTAGGGACACAAAGATAAGAGAGAATAGTCACCATCGGGTTGCTGCAGCCTAGTGGAGAGACACACCGCAGGTCAGCAAGCACAAGGTTTTACCAGGTCTGGGAGCTCCTGAGTCAGTCTGGGCATGTTGGGGAAGGTTTCCCAGAGAGGAGGTGTGAGTTCAATGCGAACGGTGAGTTTAATACGATTATGTGCCGTCGCCATTTTGGATCTGTACTGAACTTTTCCAGTCTGGATCAGTGTAGCCAGGTTGTAGAAGAGAAAAAGGCATTGATAGCTACACTTAGCTGACATCCATTTTCACTGTGACTTAACTTCGGAGTCAGAGAGTACACGGAGGGGAATCGCGGCTGGCTTTGTCCTCGGCCGTACACACGGAGGGGCCTTGGACTTGTTGTGCAGCAGGTGGCCACTTCTGCCCTGAGGAAACTTACTCGTTCTGGATGTAAGCTTATCTACACCTCTGTCCTCACAAGCACACGTTTTAAGTAGGTAGGTTGGGAGTCAGTTGGGCCAAATCCTCCTTATCATCATCATTTGTTTAATGTGCTGACTCATTTTGACCTTATCTTTCTGGCAAATCTTATTTCCCTAATGCATTTGGGTAGATTTATATTCACTTTTGGTAGTGTTGGTCATCTGGGGAGGGTTGAGGAGGGAGGCAGTAACTGACCAGGTTCATTACACAAGCTCTGAATCCCATGAGGCCTGTATTGCGGTAGTTGGTCTCTTTCGGTATCTACCTTGTTTTATTTCCTAGGTGATTTATTCCTTTATTATGTGAGACCTTCTGTAGGGAATTTTTATTAACTTTGGTGACATGTAACAGTGACAAAAGAGAAAAATAATTGCATTCTGTGTTTTTGCTGAATTCAGCCAGTTTCATTGCCGATTGCATGGGGTTTATTGCGTGAGGACCGAAAGATGTGGAAATATATAGGTTATTGCGTGTAGGTTTGTTGGGGAAACATCTTACTTAGTTCAACAATAAGTGAGGAGAGTTTGGATGTGGCCCTATTTGCAAAATATGTCATTCCCTTAGCCATGAGTGGCAGTGCTTTTGTTTCAGATTATTGAACGGTTATCCTCAGGCTGCCGGTTCTTTTAATATCATTCTGTGGGATTTTTAGTGAGGAGAAAGATGATTGGGGAGTGATAACTTTATATACAAGCCTTCATAGATACAGTGTCTTACTGAAATCTTGATGGTTTGCAGTGCAAGAACTGGCAAATCCAACATTTGATACAGGCAGTTGCTCCCATGGTCTCCGAGTAGACAAGGCTCTGGGGAACCAGTCTTCACTTGTAATGATGAGCACTCCCATAGTGTCCACCATGTCCCAGGCATCTTATCTTTCTGCTAGATGTTTTTAGGTACATATATCTAATTTTAAAATAGAACCATAAGGTAGTCCTTGCCATTCTGCTTAATAGAGGGTGAAACTGAGGTTTAGGGTGATTGCCCAGAATCATATGGCCAGGAAGGGGCAGAGTGCAGCTCACCCACCTCTGCGTCTAATGTGTCTATTAGAAATCATCATGCCGCCCTCCTGGCTTCCACCCTGGAGCAGTCACTGGTGTAGTGAGTAGTCAGATACGGGGCAGCTGAGACGACAGAGTGTGCGTGAAGTAGGAAGGCTATGGAGTGATGTCCTATGTGAGCAATTAACTTTTAGAAGAATTGGGAGACAGATGAAACTTCAGAAGGGGTAATCCTAGGTCAGAGTTCTGTTGGAATCTTCATCTCTTTATCTATGCAGTGTATTTTCCCAAAGAGGTTTTTTTCTAAATTACTATTATTGGAAGGCCAGCCTAATAAGAGGAAGAGATTTTAATGTTGACCGGGTGTCTAAATTTTCCCTGAAACTAGTTTCCTCTTCACTCATTCATTCATTCATTTTATTTAACAAGCATTTATGTAGGGCTTGTTTTTGTCCTTGTTCTAAGTGCTTTATGAATACTAATTAATTCAGTCCTCATAACAACTGTATGAATCCCCTTCTTTTATTATTCCCCTTTCACAGATGAGGAAACTGAGGCATAGAGTGATTAAGCACTTTGTTCAAGGCCGCACTGCTACCAGTGGCAAGCTGGGTTCACACCCAGACAGACAGGCCCCAGACACACTCTGTGTCATCTCTTCATTCGTCTGTTCCTTTATGCACACAGCAAATGTTTATTGTGTGCTCACGCCGTGCCAGGTGCTGAGCTCAGTGCTGGGGATGTCACTGGCACCAAGTCAGAGCAAAACAGCTGGAGGACGTGGTTGTAAGGAACAGATGTGCAGTGTTATGGAGGTATTTTGAAAAATACAGAGAACTACACAAATTCCGGAAGTTATTTTTGGTCGTAATATCTTTTCAGATTATGTAATGTTCACATTCAACCTTGGTGACGATTCAAGACAAGTCGTGTGCCTCAAAGGGAAGCAAATCAAAGGGATTTCCTAATATTCTATTTTAGCCTTTTAAAAATTTGAATCAAAGAATATTGGAGAATTGAAACTAGTTACTTTTCTACTTAGTTCAAACCAATACTGTTCTTTTTCTTGTTGAATTAGCAAAATAACTGGCTTTGAGTTTATTTTTTCGAGTTAGCTGATTAAATAGGCTTTATGAAGTACCCTATTATCTGCTTGATTAAACCTAATTTCCTATCGCTGTTTTTTTTTGTTTGTTTTGTTTGTTTTTAAGATGCTGACCAGTACAAATATGGCAAGAACCGGGTAGAGGCTGACGCTAAGCGGTTACAGACCAAAGAAGAGGAGCTGCTGAAGAGGAAAGAAGCCCTGCGGAACAGGTTGGCCCAGCTCCGAAAAGAAAGAAAAGACCTTAGAGCTGCCATTGAAGTGAACGCCGGTATGAAACACTTGGTTCTCATTGGCCCAGGGTGCCTATTTGTATTAGAAACTGTACGTTTCATTCTACTTTGCCCAAAGGATCTGACTCACTGAGGCTATCATTTTAGTAAATGAACATCACTCCATAAGGTGCTTTCTGGGGTTGGGAGCACAGCCAGTGAACCCAGTGCAGGTGCCACCGTGGTGGATAACACAGCAGGCCGAGGCTGGCACCTGACCACAAGCTGTTGGCTGTGGCCAGAGAGGTGCTGGGGACCTGTTCCAGCCTCAGGTGCTGACAACAGAGGTTGTCTGGAGGACAGTCCTATGACCATAGGCCTCAGCAGATTCTGGTCACTGCATCAGATGGGTCAGTTGGGTTTCTCTGCAGGGGGGTGGTCCACAGGGATGAGTCATGTTCACAAGTGCTGGCAAGGTAAGAGGTCTCTGCTCCATTCCCTGAGAAGGGACTGGTGAGAGCAAGTCAGTGTTTTGAGTCTCAAATGGCTCAGAAGAGGCCAGGTTAGTGGAAAACAGACCCCCGGAGGGGAACTGGGAGTATATAATTATGCACAGTTATCAGGGGAACCGAGTCAGGAGTCAGAACAGTGCCACTGGAAGGCTTGTTCATTCTTGCTGGCAGGAACTAGGTATTTAGTTCCTGACTCTGGGGATGAAACTACTTAAATACATATTGCTCAGGTCCAGACTGGCTCTAATACTGGGGCAAGATTAGCTCTTTAGATTTTTCTAGCCTAGGAAGGGAGAGGGAGGTGCAGATGCAGAGGACAGGGGGGTCCAGAGAGGAGCCCCGGCTGGCAAACGGCTCACATGTGGGGGGAGCAGACATTTACGCACACCGAGCAGTTGAGCAGCAGCTCGGGCCACTCCTGACGTGTACCTAAGTGATTACTTGAAGGGAAGTGCTTTGGGGTTTAGGGAATGGGTGTGGCTGGCAGACCGGGGATACCCCATAGAGGAGACAGGATGTGACGTCGGCACGAGGCTGCCTGGGAGGCATCAAGTGCAGGGGCAGAGAGCTGGAAAAGAGCACGGAGTTCAACGACACACAAGTGCATTCTTCCTTCTGTTGTTTCAGGTTTGCAAGATAGGGAAGATGCAGAAAGGTTAGAAGGGCTTTTGACCTTGAAAAAGAGAATCTCAAGTTCTGACAGCACTTGCCCAGGGCCCATGCACAAGTCCATTAGCCTCTTGGGATTGGTTTTCCCATCTCTCCAGTGGATTCATTACCTGCTATCTTAGGTCACTGCAACCAATCTCAGATAAAATAAAGCAAATGTGCCTTAAAGTGATGTGCCCTGTAGAGATGCAAGCCGTGCTGTTGCTTATTGCCATGGGGCAAATCAGACAACTCTAGAGGAGTTAGAACAGAACACATTTAGACTGTTCAAGTCAGTGGCACCTTTGGAAAGGATATATAGCTTAAGTTCCACATTTTAAAATGAGTACTTTTGAAGTCCGGACCCAGGAATGCCTTGAATTTATGAGAATCAAGATCTCCTGGTTCCTGGTCTATGTTCTCCCAGCAGCAGCAAAGGAAAATGGTTAGACAAGGACTTTTGTTCTTTAAAGAACAGCTGAATCGAAGTTTTATAGAAAGGACCAGAGTCAGGGAAGCTCAACCTAGAAAATTTTAGCAATCCTTTTAGGGGTACCAAAGTTCTCTGTTATTCTGAAAATCTATGCCTGATGTTGGAGCAATGATGTGTCTCTGGAATTTCAGGCAGGAAGACCCAGGTGATTCTGGAAGATAAGCTAAAGAAGCTGGAGGAGGAGTGTAAGCAGAAGGAGACAGAGCGCGTCAACCTGGAGCTGGAGCTGACAGAGGTCAAGGAGAGCCTCAAGAAAGCGCTGGCGGGCGGGGTCACTCTGGGGCTGGCCATCGAGCCGAAGTCAGGGACGTCGAGTCCACAGGTAAGTGTCCTGACAGCTCACTCTAGAAGTCGGTGTGGTGCTGGACAACAGAATGACTCTCCAGCGCAGCTTACTCATGGCCCCTTGGCTCAAACAGCAAGGACATAGTGCATGTGTCAGCTTCAGACACTTGTCACCCGTGCTCCACGTTCACTGACATGGAGTTTTCTCATCTCTCTCACAGATGGTTAAAAGGTGATAGGGATACTGAGTCTGTTTCTTACCCCTTTGCATAATGTGGTTCTAACAGGTCCAGTTCTATCTCTTTTGAGCCAAGTCCTAATTTGATGCCAATTCATTAGATAGAAAATTTAATGCAATGTAGCAAATTTTTATAAATTATGCCAGGTGCTGGGGAAGCTGAAATGAATGGAACACAGTCTGTATCCTCTTAGAATCTAACAGAACAGAGGGAGGTCATCTTTCCAACATGAATCATACCCTTAAATTGTTCACTGTTCACTCTCATTTGACTGAAAGCCACTGAGAACTGATTGTTGTCTTTTTCATTTGATTGTTTCATGGGATCCTTACTATCTTGGGAATCAGATGTTATTTTTTCCGTTTTACAAATGAACTTGAGGCCCAAAGAGGTCAAGTGAACAAGAGCACGGAAGAGCAGACAGTGAGGGAGCGCAGGCTGCCTTTCAGCTCCATCCTTCTCCAGCCGAAACACCACGTGGGACCCCTGGCCCCTACGCCCTGCTTCCTGGATGCTCTTGTTTTGGGTCCTTCTGTCCAATCCCCTGGGCAGAATGCTGCGCCAGTGAGTCTGCCCATGCTCTTCCTCGTGAGCCCTCTGAAGTCCGCCCACCCACCGCACCACACCCAGCAGACTCGCCGTGCTGCGCTGCCTTTGTCGCTTGATTATCCCCTTCTCCACGGAGACTCTTCCACCACATCTCCCTGCTTCTCCAGACTCCAGCTTCCTGTCCCCCTGTGTGGCCACCGCCCCCACTTCCAGAAGTGTCTTCCCTCCCACTCGGCAGAGCTGCTCCAGCAGCCTGGTGGTTGCTCCCTCACCAACAAGACCGGCTGTGCTGTCAGTGCCTTGCACCGCCACAGGGCGGAGTGTTTAAGAGCAGGTTCGGGAGCACATAGGCCAGGGTGTGGGGTCCTCATCCTCTCCGGGCCCCAGTTGTTTCATCTGTAATAGTACTGCCTGCAGCACAGGATCGTGTGCGCAGGAGCTCATGGCACAGTGCCTAGCCAAGGTATGTATATTCATTCATTCCTGCTTTCGTTATGTAAACACGGCAGGTGAGAATCCCTGTTTCATGGAGCTGATACGAGGCTACTTCAAAAAGTTTGCAGAAAAATGGAATTGAAAGATAATGTGAATCTTTCCATTATCTTTTTGAAGACCCCTTGTCTTCTCAGGAGGAGAGACAAACCAGTAAAATAAATGCATGTCAGGTGTCGACAGACAGGGCTGTGGGGAACCATAAAGCAGGAATGGCGGGGATGCAGTGAGAATTAGAATCCAAGGAGTCCTTGGCCTCTTGGAATCTGACATAAATGGGGACCAGGGGTGTAAGGGGTCAGTTGCCATTAGAGAGTGGCAGTGACGCTGTGCACATTGCCTGGCCTGGCGGGGGCAAGGGGAGTCTTCCCTGGTGCATACGGAGTTCTGGGCCCTCGTGACTCTTGTCTGTGGTGAAGTGAGGCAGGAGGCCAACAGCCCCACAGGCTTCCTGTCCTGTGTGGAGGGCTGGGGCAGGAGCAGCTGGAGCAAGTGCTCCACCTCCATGCTTTGACCTGTGGCAGCGGGAGATCCCCTGTCCACGGCCCTAGACCCTACCTCCCCTGATGTCCAGGCACCTGTGGGGACTCTTCTCCTGTCTTCAGCGCCCTTTTCTGTTAGCTTCCCTCAAAGCACTGACAGACTCTCTAGTTTGTTCCATCTATAAAAAAATAGTGATTTTGCCTTCGCCCCATGTTGCCCTCCAGTTCCTGTCCTATATTTCACACCTCCCCTTCCAAGTTAAACTTCTGGAAACAGTTGTCTGTTCTCAGTGTCCAACTGGTCCCGCTCACTTCTCAGCTCGCTGTGGTCAGCCTCTCACAGAGCCTGCTTTCCTCAAGGAGACCTCTGGTACTCTAAATCCAGCTGACACTGGAGTTCTTGCCTCTGTCCAGTCTCAGGTGCCCTTTGGCACAGCCACCCCAGCTAACCACGACCCTGCATTCTTCTGGGCTGGGTTGCCCCCGTCTCTCTAGAGCTTCCCTCCGGCCTCTTGGCCAGCCTTGCCTGATCATCCAGTGCCTTTCCAAAGGCCAGAGCTTGTCCTCCTGGAGGACAGCCCTGGGCGGCTGCCTCAGGTTCCCCTCTTTCAGGCCCTGGTGCTATGTTGCTTCCTCTCTTTTCTGCGGGCTACTCTGGGGACTTCGTTGTCATCATCCAACCAGCACCAGTGGCGATGTTCTGCCTTAACTGCCATCCAGACCCCATCCTCGGGAGCATGGCTTGTTAGACACTTCCCAGACGTGTGTCACGTGCTGCCTCATTCATAGCCCAGCTTGGCCTTTCCTAGGATGTGTGTCATCACTACTGGTCTGTCCTTTCTACTAACCACTGCATCCCCCACACCCTCCCAGCCAGTGTTGCCTCTTAACAACATTGCCAAGGAAAGCTGGAACACAGGGAAAAGTTGGCTGCCTGGGGATCCATAAATAAACCCGACAGGGATTCTACCTGTTTTAGTGGTAATTGGAACACTGTTCTAAAAGAACACTCCATGTTCCCCGAGCGGTACTTTTCACATCATGTATTGTGGCAGTCATGGTAAGGGAGAGTTACTCCCCGGACGCTCCATCTGGGAGATGCAGCAGACCGCAGTGCTGCTTCCAAAGAGCAGCTCGTGATCCCAGATGGAAGATCCAAGCCCGGGGCCTGGCCACCAAGGGTACATTTTGTTTCATTTTAAGCCTCCCAGAAAACCTCTTCCTTCTGTTTTAGCCAGTCAGAACTCCTCAGTGTTTATCAGCACCCACGCACCTCCTGTGGGCCCTGTGCAGTGTGGCTGGGCTCCATCAGCTAGTGCTGATTCCCATCTCCACTGGCTGCTCTGCCTGGGTCTTTCAAGGACAGCTGACTGGTGGAAAGCTTTGAAAATTAGAAACAGTGTATAGATGGACAAGTCATAGGCAGCACGATATGAGTGGGAGAGCCCTTCCTTGATGTGGACTCTAATCTCCCCACCTTCACTACTTCCCAGCACGACCAGCAAGTTAGAGCATCCCCCGAGCCTCAGCTTTCCTGTCTGTAACCTGGGCCTTTTAAAGGAGCACTGAGGATTAGGCACCAGCTCTACAGTAGTCCTTTACGTTGTTGTTTTTGGCTCATTTTCAAAACCCATTTCTTCTTTAAACCACTTTCCTGCTGAGGAATACTGGTGGTCTGGAGACCATTTCTCATGCAGGGTTTTCCCTCTCTCCATTAACAGTCTCCCGTGTTTAGGCATCGGACTTTGGAAAACTCGCCCATCTCCAGCTGCGACACTAGCGACGCGGAAGGCCCCATGCCAGTGAACAGCGCGGCCATCCTGAGGAAGAGCCCGCCGGCCTCAGGCAGCTCCCCCTGCCGTGGGCACGTGCTGCGGAAGGCCAAGGTGAGTCACTGATTCCCGCGGTGGCCCACCCTGGGGTGGTGCAGGCATCCCACACAGGGCGAGATGGAGGAGCTAAGTGTGTCTTCCTGCCGCACCTTGCGTCCAGCCTCCTGTGGGATTCCATTGAGTGAACACTCACCTCCTTACTATGCACCAGACCTTCCTTTAGGAAGTGGGTCTTCAAAGCCCAAAACAGACTTACACCTTGCCTGGAGGAGTTTCCATGAGTGTCAGTAAGAACAGACATCTCTGGGACCGTCTCAGAAGTGGGCAGGACTCTGGACTTCTCTGGACCTGTTTTCTCATTGGCAGAGTAGAGACTGGACCAGGTGACCACTGAGGTCCTTTCCAGTGCTTAAATGCTATGATTCTTTTAATAAGAAAGAAAGAAAAAAAATCGAGGAGTAGACACTTTTCTCCAGTCCCCTCTGCAGCCCCACTCAGCCTACAAACCATTCTCTGGGGTGTTGTAGGAAATCACTCTGCTTCCTGTAGCATCTTCCAATCTTCTAAGGGATTAACCACTGACACATTTGGATGCTAAACTTAAAAAACCTCACAAGTTTTTTTTTTTTTTTTTTTTTAAAAGATGACCGGTAAGGGGATCTTAACCCTTGACTTGGTGTTGTCAGCACCACGCTCAGCCAGTGAGCGAACCGGCCATCCCTATATGGGATCCGAACCCGGGGCCTTGGTGTTATCAACACCACACTCTCCCGAGTGGGCCACGGGCCGGCCCAAAAAACCTCACAAGTTTTTAAAACACAATTTCTCGTTTCTCAAAGCAAACTGTTACTGACTGTTGTAACTGAAAGTGTACTGTACGTAAAAATCGTACTTGGTGCAGTGACGTGAATGGGGAATGCATGTGGATTTCATTTGTTCTGATGGATGTGGGGCCTGTGTCCTCCCTCCGTTGTCTCCAGATGGTCCTCTGATTGCTGGCATTCCTTTTGTTCCTAGACAGCTTTTGGAACCCATTCCAAATTGGCTAGAAATATATTATTTTCTGAAGGATGGGTCTAGAATTAGGTACATGAGTGTCAGCCGCTTGTATGCTCTTTGGTGTATTCATGGGAGGGTTCCTGCGGATGTGGTTACCGACAGCGTCCTAGAGGATCTGTCCTCCATGGCAAAGGTATTTCACTGAAGATTGCGTACTGGTAAGTTGGGGGCAAAGAAGAACTACTTTGTCTAATTTGCATGACTTTTCTTGTTGCCCATCAGGTGTTCTTAGTTTGTGACTGTTATGCACATTTACAGAAGAATATGTCTTGCCTGGGGGATATTGAGAATCGAGCTGCCCAGTAAAGTCCTGCTTTCTAATTACAGATGAGAAAGGCAGTAAAATTATTTCATTTGCTTGGTTTCTTTCCCATCAGAGAAACAGGATTTAGAATTACGTGTCTCCGGCCCTTGGAAGGGTTCCACTCACTGTGCGCGCTCATTGGCCAGAGGCTTGGCTCTTGTCAGCCCCTCTTGTGCTTTTGTGAGAGATGCATAGTGAGTGGTCACCGCTGGATCGGACGCACTGCCAGCTCTGCAGACCGTCCACGCTCACAGTTCCAGAAAACACAGCAGAAGCTGTTCCCGTCATTCTGGCTGGGAATCTTATGTGCACCTTTGCTAAAGAATGGGATGGGGCTCTCCAGTTAGCTCAGTTGGTTAGAGCACGGTGTTGTAACACCAAGGTAAAGGGTTCCAATCCCATTACCAGACACCACCAAAAAAAAAAAAAAAAAGGGATTGAGCAGGGTTTCCAGGATCTCTGAGAATAGTGACCAGGGCTGGAGGTGGAGGTGCAGCATGGCCTTCTGACCCTGGGAGCATTGATGAACTTGCAGGTGCATCACAGATGTGGTCTTTTCTGCCCACCCCAGCCTTTTTCTGAGGACCAGGGGAGTCTGACTTATTCCAAATGTGGGAAGTGTTATCTCAGGCAATATTCCTAAAATAATTCCCAGCTCTTGTTGAAGAATGCCCTGAGCCTGAGAAAGAGCTGTTTGGAAAGTCAGATGGGGGCTGGCCTGTTGCTCAGTTACAACGTCATGTTGTAACACCAAGATCAGTGGTTCAGATCCCCGTACCAGCCAGCTGCCAAAAAAAAAGATATTGAAAGTGGAAGTCAGATGACGTCAGATTACATGTTACAGGATTGCCTGGCTTAAAAGGGGCTTAGAATCGGCCACACACCCAGCTCTGGGCCCAGCATCTCCTTGCTCTCAGCTCGGGGAAAGCTGTGTGCTGAGGGCCACTGTCAAAGGCTGGTTCTAGAACTGCAGGCCTGCGTCCAAAGCAGCTCATGCATGAGCCATGTGCAGAGGGAGCAGGTGCCAGGCACTGACACTCAGTGTCATGCACGCCTGCAGTTCCATGTCATCGGCAGCGCCTGTCCATCCACTCCTACAGTGTTCATGCATCTTCATTCTGTCACTCTGCTCTGTGGACAGTGGGCCTGTGCTTTGAAACGTTACTAAGTTTGCTAAACTTGTGTGCTAAATCTTTTTGGCGGCACATAGAGATACCATTTAAGTCTTTTCTCTAGAACCACTGCTGCCTGGTGGTAAGTTGGCAAGCTGTGCAAATAAGAATACCCTCCAGGGCCAACCTGGTGGCTTTGTGCTCTGGATACCCTCTCTGTTTATAGCGGCCCATAGAGAAGTCTCAGGGAAACTGAGGAAGGGCGATGTTGTGGGGCGGGCACCTGGCCTAGTCATCGTCCCCTTTGCAGAACATGAGGTCTTCGGGCCAGCCCGTGGCTCACTCAGGAGAGTGTGGTGCTGATAACACCAAGGCCCCAGGTTCGGATCCCATATAGGGATGGCCAGTTCGCTGACTGGCTGAGCGTGGTGCTGACAACACCAAGTCAAGGGTTAAGATCCCCTTACCGGTCATCTTTTTTAAAAAAAAAAAAAAAAAAAAAATGAGGTCTTCTAACCACACGCCTAACAGTGTCCCCTTGTGTGCTTTTGTTGTCACTGAGTGTGGCTTTGTTTGGTTTTTGTTTCTGCCACATCTGCTAATGCCATGCATTTAACTATTAATTAAACTTGGATTTTTGATTCTAGAAAAGGTGAGAAATTCAAAATTTTATTCAGTATTCAGAAATATGCAGAGTACTCATGATCCAGTTAATAAAGCCCTGGAAATACGGGGAGTCAGACGTTTGTATCAGTCCAGTGTGCTGCGTGGCCAGTGTCGCTGGGCACAGAGGAGGCAAGCCTGCATGTGCTGGCTGAGCCCTGAGCAAGGGATTTTCACCCACATTTTTCCTATGCTTTGAAGTCCTTGGGAGGGCTCACGTTGTACTAAGGCTCAGAGAGGTTAATTTCTCCAAGGTTCCACCACAGCTGAGTCACAAAAGGCTTGGCTCCTGTTAAAGTAAAAAAAGATATAGAGGCAAATCTCTAAGATTACATTTTATTTGGGAAACACACAGGCCAAGTGGTCTCCAGTATGTCTGAAAAACAACAAAAAGTCTGGGATTTTTATTAACGAGAGGAACATTACTATTTTGAAAGAAAGCTCATTGGCACTGGCCAAGTTTGTGAGAGTGGGCAGACTTTAGTGAGCACTGGCAGCAGGTAAAATAAGTCCTAGAATCATGGCAGGCTGTTTTAGCAGCTACTGGAATAAAACTGGTCTTGGGGATGTAGCAGGCTGTTTCAGCAGCTGGGTTGGTAGAAAGTTCTTGGAGCAGGTGCTTTGTGCCCTGAGTCCTGGACCCTCAGCTACACTTTTAGTCTGGGTATGGCAGGAATGACCCAGTTCGTGTCAGCCACGTTCACGGTGCAGTGCCTGGACTCTCTTCTCAGCTCCTTTTAAGCAGTCAGTGAGAGGGACAAGAGAGGCCTGTTACTGTGATTTTTGCCGTAGGCGCTGCTCTGGCCTTGCTCTGCCCCTTTGCCTCCTCCTTCTGGAAACAGAACCTTGTGGTGAAACCCCAGTGCAGAGCCACGCAGCTCCAGAGCAGGCTTCTGCGTCTTCTGGGCGGCCACACAGGGGAGGGGACACAGATGAGTGGACAGAGAGGAAGAGGTGGGGAGAACCTTCCCCTTGAGGAGCAAGCGGATCAGCCACGGGGCGTTGAAGGCATGCAGCTGACGTGTAGAAGTGGCACATGGGATGCTGACGCTGCCTCCCAGCAGGGGGCTACCCAGGGAGGCAAGGGTGGGGGGGACACCGGGCCTGGTCCTCAGGATGCACAAGAGTCAGCCAGGTGACACAGGGTGGAGGGTGCCCGGCCACTGGTCAGAGAGGACCAGACATGGAATAGAAGGTGCAGCCTGTTCTGGGGATGGTGTGGCAGAGTGCAGAGGGGACGGGCTGTGCAGTGAATGGGTGGCTTTTGCTCCTGATTCATAAGATGGGAATACGTTTTACCTCCCAGGACTACTGTCAGATCAGGCACGGGTATGCCCATCGCCACCCCTGGAGCCCCCGTCTCTGCCCTCGTGGTGGTGGTGGTATGGAGACTGCAGGGCCTGGGGTGGTGCATGGCCAGTCACTATGTTGATTAGATTTAAGCACCACACTTTTTAAAAAACACTTTTTTAATGTGGCAAAATAAGTGTAACATAAAATTCAACGTTTTAACCATGTTTAAGCGTGCAGTTCAGTGGTATCAGGTAGTCACATTGCTGTGCAACCGTCACCACCTTCCATCTCCAGAACTTCGGCACCTTGCCAAAGTGAAACTCTGTGCCATTAAACACTAACTCCCCATCTTCCCCTCGCACAGCCCCTGGCACCCACCATTCTACTTTCTGTCTGAATTTGACTCCTCTAGGGACCTCATGTGATGGAATCACATAGCATTTGTACTTTTGGGACTGGTTTATGTCACTTAGCATAATATCCTCAAGATTCATACACATTGTAGCGTGTGTCAGAATCTCCTTCCTTTTTAAGGCTGAGTACTAGTGCACCGTACAGATTACAGCACATTCATCTGTTGACACACACTTGAGTTGTTTCTGCCTTCTGGCTTTTGTAAATAGTACTGCTGTGAACACAGGTGTACAGATACCTACCTGCATGAGACCCTGCTTTCAGTGCTTCTGGGTAAATACATGGAAATGGAATTGCTGGATCGTGTGGTAGTTCTGTGTTTACTTTGGGGAACCCGCGTGCTGTTTTCCACAGTAGCCCAGAACCCACACTTTTCTTTTTTTTTTTTTTTTTTTCCTTTTTGTCTTTTTTACTGACCGGTAACGGGATTGCAACCCTCGGTGTTGCGCCCGCACTGCGCTCAGCCAGTGAGTGGGAACCGGTCTCCACATGGGATCCGAACCCTCGGCGGGAGCGCCACTGCGCTCCCAAGCAGTGCACTCTCCAGTGCGCCACCGGGCCGGCCCAGAACCCACACTTTTCAAGTGCAATTTTAACAGGGCATAGTACGGTCCGTCTCAGCGTGATACTTTGCTATTTCAATTTCTACAACTCTCCTCCCTCTAGGAATGGGAATTGAAGAACGGGACATAAAGGAAAGACGATTGTGCCTCAACCTCAGAGAGAGACTGTGCACCCTTTCCCGTGTCCTCATCGAGTGACCACAGGAAGCCCTCCCCTACGTGGCCTCAAGCAGCGCACCTGCCAGGGTTCTGCAGTGGAGTTCTGATGCCAGCGCCTGACCAAGCTCTCTCTTGTATTCTGTCTACTGTATAATGGTGCCCCTAAAAACATTCACTTGTAAGACTTTGGTTTCCAACTTTGTTATAAAACAAAAACAGAGGGATGAAAAGTTACTGTCAAGAATCCTGTGGCAGGTGGAGGATTTACACCTTTCTGACCAGTTAAAAGATTGGTTTAAGCAATTTTAACCCAGTCCCAGCCTGAAGGTGGATGGACTAGTGAGCCCTGGGGGAAGCCTTGGACTGGACCCGGAGGAGTGTGGGCCCCATATCCTCGGCAGGCATCCAGATCGCCTGCATGGCCACTGGGAAGGCAGGGGCTACGTAGCTGTGACGGAGTGGCTTGAGTCCTCATGTCCTGGCGTCCCTTCCTTGTGTGCCTTCCCCCTCGTCACTGGAGGTAAAGTCATGAGACAGTTGTGCTGTGAGGCATTTTTTACCTTCTAATGATTTTTCTCTGGACAGATGCTTTTGTCACCAGGGCGTGAAAAGCTGCCATTCTTTTTAACCTGTTTTCTAAAAGTGTCCCTTTTTATCATGTGTCGCACTTAGATCTAAGGATTTTTCAGAGATTCTGTATCCTATTTTATTAATTATTTGTACTGCTTTTGAAAGGCAGCAGAGTGTTTTTAATACTTCACTAATGGGCAACCTTTTCCCCCTTGGCCCGATGTCCCCAACCCTTTCCACCACCCCCAAGCCGGCAGGTGCTCCTCAGAGAGCCAGGCCGCCACACAGGATGGGCGGGGCTGTGTCATCGTTTGTCTACAGGATGTGCACTGATGCATGGGCTGGAACAGTCCTTTGAAAAGGAAGCAAGTTTTGGAACTTGCACTGTTATAGAACTGTCACATTTTGGAGCAAGAGATGGGCCTTTGAGAGCTCCTTGCCCCCCTCAGCGCCTTCCTCCAGCAGTGAATGGAGGCCACGAGGGGTCGGAGGATCTGGTCCCGCTGTTTCTCTCCCAAGCATGGTAGGCCTGGGCCGGGCCTCCTCCCGCTTCTCACACCTGCCTTCTGTGCAATATTTCTTGGGGAGCTTGGATGTCCGAGGCATAAAGAGAAAAACAAGTTCATAGGTTGGGCTAGTGTCTCCCCCATGGGTTTAAGAATCAGATTAACTTCTTGGCCTCCAGAGGGCTACTGTCAGGAATTCTCCATCACGGGAAGATGCAGTCACTGATGAGGAAATGAGTTAGTCACCCCAGAAACCCTCTGCAGATGATCAGGGGGGCCAGTCACACGTGTGTGGTGGGTCCTTCCCCCTATGTGCAGAGCTGTAATGATGCTGCGCTTGGCACAAGCCTCTTATCCACTGTCCAGAATGTCCTTCCCATCAAATGTAGAAAGAGATGGCAGGAAGACACAGCTCCTGCATGTTCCAGGCACCCTTTCAGAGCATGTCCTAAGCTCAGCCAGCCATCCGCAGGCCTTCTCAGTTAGGATTAATGTTTAATACCATGGCCCTGAAGCCCAGCAAGGGCTGTATTTGATTTTACTTACTAGAGCATGGAAGTAGTCTCAAGTGTATAAGAAAGTTTTACAACAAGAATTGGAAGCTGCTTAACTTGAGTTCACCTGAAACTTGAATTTATTGCCAAGCCATCTGCCAGGAGCATTTTTGGCTCATGAGCCGTCAGCTGGCATCCTTGTGCTCCGGCCCCTTCCTTCACGGCGTAATAAATGGGGTCACAGCACGCCAGCACCGATGACATCAGCTCCCACTAGGAAAGCCTAAGGGCAAGGAGAGGGAAGCCTTCTAGAAGCTTTGCCGAGGTCTCCCCACTCCTCTTGCGGTGATCTGTACTATCATCACAGGCAGCTGTGACCACCTCGTATCATATGAAACTAATTTTCTGTAAAGGGAAAAAAGTTTGATCTACCCTAGGCTTTTGCTACCTTTGCCCAAGAGAGCAGTGCCAGGTTTTGATGGTTATTAAGAGAAGGGGGAAGATGGCCAGCCTGGACTCTTGTTGCAGCAGAAGTCGCGTCAGTCATCTGGCGGGCGGGGCACTAACAGCATCAGGCGTAGCACATAGACCTCAGACCTCACCCGGACTGTTGTCTTCATCTGGCAAGTGGAGACCCTGAAGCTTTGGGAGTATGTCTTGACCAAGGACATGGCTAATTGGAGCCAGAGTAGGATCTAGGCCCCGGCCTTCTGACTCCTGGTATACGTATTCTGTATTTAAAACCCCATGTTTGTAACTTACTTTTCAAACCCACAGCCTTGGCAAACTGAAGTGATCAACAGGCTGTGGAAGGCGAGGCTCTGGCATTGGGCTCTGATGTCGTGTGTTCCCCTTGACGTTTTTAGATTTGATTAGAAAGTTCATTTAAAGCATTTGCTTCAAAATAAGTTATTTATTTGTATATTTTCAATAAGTGTACTTTTTAATTTATATCTGTACATATTAGGCACACATGAGACACCTTGTCATCCCAACATAGATCTCATTTTATTACCCTCCCAAAACATGCCCCAGGAGTGAGCACCCCTGCCGCTGGGGCAGCCATGGGCACAACTGTTTGTGACGAGGCCATGCTGGGTTGGGGAAGGGCCCACCACCTCCTTGCGGGGAGGGTGTGGTCAGATTCCACTGGAGAAGTCAGACTTCTTTTGAGATGCTCCATGACTTTAACGTTGTTATGTTCATGAATTTAGTAAGATGCTGGCCAGGGCACGAGGCATGCAGGGGCCATGGGGGCGGGCCAGGCAAGACCACCAACCTGCAGATCCTGGGGCCCTTCTGTTATGACGCAAAGCCCTGCTCTGGCTCTATTTTGGTAAGGTGTCATCAGCCTTCACAGATCCCCTCCATTTTTATATTTTTATAATGCCTTTGATTCACTAACCCATCTTCTGCACAGAAACACTGTCATGCTTAAAGGGCTGGCTTTGGTTCCCGACTTGGGCACAAGCATGGCCTTCATTTCCCTCCACCCAGATGCCGTGGGGTTTCAGAAAGCTCCCTCAGCTTCAGGGGTTGATAGCACCACCGCAGGGTCTGCTGAGTCGCCCGGGTGCCGGATGGACCCCTCCAGAACCTTCCCAGAGCCATTCTCTCAGGGCGACTGGGGACTGTTGACCAGCCACATGTGTGAGCCCCATTTCGTTCCCTCTACACATGTGCCTTGGAAGTGGCAAATCTCCAACCTATCAGAGCAGTTTGGGTTATTTAGAAATAGCCAAAAATAACTTGGGGGACAAGAAAGACAAATGAGGGAGATCGGGCTTGGCAATACCTAGAAAAGTCTGTTTCACCAAAAAATGTGTATCCTCAGCTCTGACGGTCCCCCAGGGAGGAGTTTCAGGTTTGCTGTGATTGTGGCCACAATGTGGAGTTTGTGTGCAGGTCTCCAAGGGCAGCTTTGAGGTGAGGGTTGGGCATGGGGGTTGTGGGCAAAACTCATTTGTTTGCGGTCACATCTTCCAGAAGAGAATGTTTACTGTTAACATGCTATTTGGGGGGAAATGTGAGTTTTACCCTCAGACCTAGCTCCCCAGGCAGTATCCTCTGTTCATTCACCTGAGTCCCGTTGTTAGAAACCTTCCAAGGGTGCATAGCACCAAGGTGAGCTCAGGTCTCTCCCACCCAGACAAGGGACGTGCCTCACACAGGCGGCCGGGACTGACACCCTGATCTCACAGGTGGCCCCTCCAACCCAGCAGATGTGAATATTTCATGCCTCTTCCAGGAGGATGGCACTGGAAATTTCTACTGCACCAGCAACAGCAGACAAGATGTTCCTCAATTTACATAAAGGTCACAGCCACATTTAAATGTTAAACTATTGCCTTCCTCTTTTTTTTCCCCAAAAATAATTTGAATGGGAACAATAATTTCAAATTCATGACATATTTTTTAAAAAAGTAAGTAATTTTGTATTACTGTTGTTAATTCTGTCTTGTTACTATCCCATGATGGGCTGGGTTCACACTGTGAAATAAACTAAAGATGAACTAAAACATCCGGGCCATCTACACGCGTGGCACAGCACTGTGGGAAAGCAGAGCCACCTCTGTGGACCCCCAAGTCACAGCAGGACGGCTCGGCATGCTCAGAGGAAAGAACACCTTGCTGGCTTCAGGTGCATCCTTTTGCCCATCTTTTGTGAAATATTTCCAATTATATTCTTCCAGAAAAGCTCTACTTTACGGTGTACAAGTATTACCAGGTATTTTTAGTTGTTGCCATGGAAGATATTTTTGAAATCGGATCTTCAGATGGTAATTCTTAGGGACCAAAGTTGTTTTAATAAGATAATCTTATTTGATTTTTTAACATGAAAGGAAGTATTCCCTTTAAATTTTAACATCAACTTTTAAATTATAAATATTTAGAATTAATTGACCATGGCTATAAGTTGTAAAATGTTTTCATATTAAGAATGTAATTATTTCCTTATTGTATTTTTAAAAAACTAAAGTTGTATTTAAAATTCTCTTTGAAAGAAACAGGCAAAGAAACAGGAAAGTTTTTTTCTAATATGTTGGTAGTGCCCATTTTAGATGACTGTAAATATATTTTCACTGTGTTTCTCAATGTATTTAATTCATAAAGTAAAAAATTTTATGAAAAGAAACTTGCAATGAAAACACTAGTTTTCAGTCCATTTACCCCATTTTGTAGTTGCTTCCTTTGAATTTTCTGCCTTACTAGTTCATCTTTCTACTGCTTCGCCTGGTGTAGCCCACAGACTGGCGTCCTTTGGCGTGACCCATTTGTGTATTTCTAATAAAACTGTACTCTTCCGACATGGCCTTGAGTCCTGATTGACCTCACTGTGGTGCAGGCTGAGAAGCTGCCTGATTCCCTAGAGTCCTGCTTTTTGTCCAGTGGAGGTCTTTGGTGACACCTGGTCACTTGGTGGAGGAGAGCGAAACAGAGGTAACGGTGAAGGCAGAAGGCGGGGAGGGTGAAGGAACCACGTGTATTATAAAAAAAAAAAAAAAAAAAGGGGGTTTTAGCCCACAGCCCTGAATGTTCAGTCCCA